ATATGGACTTCAAGAATAGCTTGAGACCATGTCTCCAAAACAAAAAAGCCACCAAACAAAGTAAGGCATTGCCACTATGACTGATACAAAGTGTTTTTAGTGTTGCAAGATTCATGTGGTACCTGTGACACTACTACACCTCTGCCCAGTGCATCCTCGGTGAGAAATAAAAGGTAGTAACAGCTAGAAACTGCTGTGCACGCTTAGCCTCAACCTGAGCAAAATGAGCAAACTGATATGGATACCCTTGTCACAAAACAGAGACCATACTGAGGTAAGGCGTCACGGTTTGCTTGTGTGTGTCTACTAGCTGTCCTATATATTTGGTATCTAATAGAACACATGCATTCATGCAGAATCTGCCCTTCAAACTGGGATTTTGTCTGTCTGTTTGTCTCCTCCCCGCCATACCCCGGCCCCTGGTTAACCTGCAGCTATATTACCTAGCTTGTCCTCCAACTTGAGGCGATCTGCCTGCCTTAGCCTCCTGAGTGCTGGGTGAGCCACCATGCATGGACTGCAGTATGCTCATTTTAACATCAACAACAACAACCCAAATGATTTCAGTTGGTGGCACAATTTCATCTTTCTGACTGCTCGGGATAAAGGCCCTGGCCTCCTTTCAAGTTCCACCTTTTCTTTCCCATCTGTATTTAATGGTTTTGGAATATCTTGACTTCCCCTTCAGAGTACATCCAGAATCTGACCAGTTTCCCATCCCTCAATGCTTCCTCCCTGGATTACAATGCCAGCTTTCTTTTCTTTTTTCTTTTGTTTGTTTTTCGAGACGGTTTCTCTGTATAGCCCTGGCTGTCCTGGAACTCACTCTGTAGACCAGGCTGGCCTCGAACTCAGAAATCCGCCTGCCTCTGCCTCCCAAGTGCTGGGATTAAAGGCGTGTGCCACCACCGCCCGGCCCAATGCCAGCTTTCTTATTGGCCAGTTTTCCAATTGGCCAACTTTTTGATAGGCTATCTGCTTCTGTCTTTGTCAACCCAGGATTCATTCTTTTTTTGTAGTCTTTTGAGCCTGGGTTCATTCTTAACCTAGTGGTCAGCATAGTCAGATTATGGCACTCATGCTCAGAACCTTACATTGCCTCCACCTCAGAGTGAGAGCTACAGGGCCCTGACTGGGAACCTCCTAATCTCCTGCCTCCTGCCTTGTCCCTCTCTTGGCTCTGCCCCACTGGCTGGTGTATTGTGATGCAGGTTGTTTAGGGCAGTTCCCTCTATTCTGCAAGGCTTACTCTTCACCTTCAGGTACTGCTCCAGGGTCACTAGTCTTCCGGTTGGCCAAAGGGTTGATGGTACCTCTTTCCCACCTGCTTCTTTACTTCTTTACTTTGATTCCTCTCTCCAGATGTCATTTACTATTGCTACTGTTCTGCACTGATTTCCATTTCCTTTCTCCAGCTAGCTTGGCTCATGGTTATAATTCTAGCCCATTGACAGTGGGTGACAGAGGTCCAGTACAGTGGTAGAACAGATCTTCTGGAGGCCCTCAACCAGGGCAAGGCACTGGAATGCAGCTAATGCACCATCTAGTGAGTGGGCATAGTGGCAAGACCTGAGGATCTGATCTTATTTCAAGAAGCTTCCCAGTAGAGTGGGGCTTGGGAGAGGGCTTTAAAGATTGGACCAGACTTGGAAAAAGAACGAAGAGGAAACATGTCCAGCCTGAGATTGATTTGTGCAGAGATCAGACTTTCTAGAGGAGTAAAGTGAGGTAGGGAAAGAAAGCTCCTGTTGAAGCAATCTCTGCAGCCCCTACAGACATCCTGCCACCCTGGCTGGGAGGGGGAACTCAGAGAGACTCCTCCCTCCCCTGGACCCTTTCCCATTCAGCTCACGTAAGAGGTCGCTCCACACGGCTGCCCTGGCCTCCAATCACCTCTCCCAGGGCCAGGAATGCTTGTCCCAGGAAATCCTGTGCCAAAACAGGGAGTCAGCGAGTCCGGGAGGGACACGGAGCCCCAAGCCTATCCTGGCGATGCTGCTGCTTTTGACCAAGATAATACCGAAGTGTAAATGACAGCCCCACATGTTTTCTGTTTCTTGAGGATCTCCCAACCAAATTCTTTCCGGTGCAGTCCACTGCATCCTCACCTTCTGCAGGTCCCGGGAGGTAGGCAGGGAAGGAAGAAAGGCAGTGAATAAGGCCAGAGCAGACAGGGGAAGGATCTGGGGTGGGGGCTGGTAGGCCAGAGGGACCAGGATCTAAGAAGGGCTGGTGGGTGCGCGCGTGGGGGTGGGGCGAGGAAGGGAAGGAGGTGTTCAGGGAAGTCCTTTGACAGGTTAGCCTCTATGTGCCCAAGCAACCTGCCAGCGGCCGCTGGCTTACCGGTTTGGAGATATTGGCTTTAGAGTCGACGTTGTACCTGGGAAGAGAGTGGAACCAGTGTGGGGTGGGGCTGGGTGGAGAAAGTCTGAAAGAGGTTAGGTTCAGTCTTGGTTAAGATTGTAGATAGAGAGAGGGGCAGTGGACACCAACTCAACTTGGGTGTGGTTTGGGATGTGTGTGTCAGGGTCAAGAGGGTCAAGCGTAGAGTGAAGCCAAGGAGGAGGTTTGATGGGGATGGAGTAGCACGGGAAGGAGCCCGAGGCCAAGGTGGAGCTAAATTAGAAGGCAGGGTTGTGGGCAGGGCCTGGCTTGCAGAAAGAACTGGATGGATCCTGCAGAAGGAGGCGCCAACTTGGTTGTGGGGGCGGGGTTAAGACCACAGTGAAGCCTTTGGAGACAGACCTGGGCTTGGGGGAGGAGCCAGGAAGCAAGGTGAGGTGGGGGCGAGACCAGGCAGAATTCTGGGCTGATCCAGGTTGGGAGGGGGGAGGGTAAGACAGGAATCTAGGAGGAGCCTCACACATCGAAGCGGAGATTTTGCTTTTCCTCAAAGAAATAGTCGAGAACGAATTTGCGCACGAAGTCTGGGTTCAGTGTGTTGTCAATCACCTCGGTTCGTCCGAACTGGGCGGCAGGGAGGGGTGGGGGGAGACGGAGCATGAGCTCGAGGCGTGCAGTCGGGCTAGAGGTTCCCGGGAGCGGCCCTGAGCTGGGCTGGGGCTCAGGGACTCACCTCCCGCCACTCCTGGCTGGCCCGGCTCTGCGTGTGAAGCACCACCACTGCGGGTGGAGGCAGGGGAAGAGAGCTCGTCAGGTCGGCCCGCACCCCTCACCGCTCCACCCGCTCCTACACCCCGGGTTCCTCCTCCAGGCCCTGGAGCTGCTTACTGGGGTCCGACTTGGAGAATGTATCCAGGTCTAGCAGATTCCTAGAGAAAAGCAACAAACAGATGGACAGAGAGCTAGCTCATTCTGGCGCTCACCACCTTAACACAGTCCTGAACTGACTGGGTACCTGGAGGAGACGTGGGGTGCAAATTGTACTCTCTCTTTATTACTATCCCCAGTGACTGTTGGGGTCCACGCTGTCAGCATTCGGGACAGCATCAGAAATCTCTGCCAATTGGTTCTATATGTGCCCACACTATCTCCAAGGGTCCAGGACTGCGGCTCGCCCCAGAACTTTGGCCCCTTGTGGCCCAGCTCTTTAGGGATTCCCGTAGCCCACCTTTTGAGCCGGTAGACTTGGGTGGGGCTTCCCAGGGAGGCCTCCCTTTCATCCTGCTAGAGACTTCAGCCTCAGTTCTCTGTTGCCCGCTCCTGGTCATCCCCTCTGTGGTCTAGCCCCCTGCCCACACCGAACCCGCAGCTGCGGTAGGCTGGGGAATTGTCCGTACTTAAGCCCTCCCCAGCCTGGCCCACTCACCGGCACGACACAGTAATTTCAATCTTGGTGGCCGGGACGCTACGCTCCGTGGCTCCGCCGAGAGACATGACTGTTCCAATGACCAAAGCCGCGTAGGGGCTGCGAGACCCCAGGTGCCGAAGCTAGGGGCGGTGGCGAGGTCGGCCCATGTGCGGAGGCAGCGGCGCTCTCTCCAGCCTTGTGTGCGCTCCGCTGCTCGCGCCCTGACAGTGGCCACCAGCAGCAGCGGCTCCAGATGGCAGCACAGCCCCGCCCGGCCCTGCAGGCGGCCCCCACCCCATTGGAGCAGCCTGGAGCTAGTCGGTGAAACTCATCCATACTTTAACTGACCTACACATCCTCTGGAACCACCACCAGAGTGATGCAAACCTTAGAACTATCCATGGTTCTGAAACATTTGGGCTGGCAAGTGGGAGTTGGTTGGTCCCGATTCTGAGCAGCTCTCATCTTTCCCTCTCCCGACCCATCTTGGTCTCTGGATATGAAGTTACATTCTCCCCATAATATTTGTGTGGCCTTGAACAAGTTACTCAATATTAGTGGTTATGGCCCTAGTGGCAGCTACTGGCGTACTTTAAGATAGGCTTAGTGACCTCTGGGTATTCACATTGATGGCCTGTCAGATCAGGGCTCTGGGGACAGTTCATTGACACACTACCTGTCTACTTATATGCAAAGGCCTAGGTTCCAATCCCCGTACAGGGTGTGAGAAGGATCAGTGAATGGTGAACTCTACGAATTGATGCCTTTGAATCCTGACATTCATCAATCAGCCCCCTCCCTGTGCTGTGTCCACTGCTGCCTCCACAGCCCAGAAGCCTGTCCCTCTATTAGTTCAGGTCTCCTACCCCAGAGCACTGTTGCCTCAGCGACTGCTAAAGATGAAAAGTCCATTCTCTGAGCCAGTGAGGAGACCCAGAACCTCCACAGAACAGGTAACTGTGGTCAAGCCCACTCAGGCTGTTGACCCCTATTCCCACCCCAGTCTCATGAATTCATATGCCACCCTTCATGGCTTATGTTGACTGATGGGAGCTGACAATTAGGCTCAGTGGTAGAGCATTTATTTGCTCATACACAAGGCCTGGGTTTCTTTCCCCAGCACAGAACAGAGATAAACCTTACATCTTAACTCCCCCCAAAACTCAAACCCTTCATCCAGCATAAGGACAGGCAGTAAGGTTCTAAGCAACTCTATTTGACAGTCAACCAGATGAAATGCCAGAGAAAAGCCATTCAAAAAACTTTTTATTTTGTGATTAGTGTGAAATTGCCTCATTTTCAGTGCAGGTGACTCTCCTTCCCAGGAAACAAAAATTGAAGAATGGGTTTTTTTTTCTTCCAACATTATAGTCTCCACGAGGCCCTTGGAACCCCCATACTCTCCAACACAGTTCTGAGTCAACAGTAATCCAAAGACCAGGGTTGGTGGGAGGCAGTGATGAGAGTGGTCACCAGTCAGGAGGTTGGGAGGTAGAAAGTCCCAACCTCAGGCCTGCTCAGGTTTGGGGCTGCCATGTGTATAACATAGAAAGGGGCTGGGAGAGTTCCCCTGCTCTCCAAGGGCCCCTTTTGCCAGGCATGGCTTGATTCCACCGAGGGCTCAGCTGAGACAGGGGCAGAAAATGGCTGTAGGCTGTTAGCTAGCTTCACAAGGTGCTGGTGCTTGTGCCCCGGAGCCCAACACCACGGGCAAACTGTTCTAGTAGGCCCCCGATGGCACCAGAGGGACTGGGGGCTGCTGCTCGAAGCCCCACTGTGCCGCTATATGCAGCCAAGAAGGCAGACCGCACCTCCTGCAGCCGTGTCTCCCGGTCACTCGGAGCTGTAAGTCTGTAGGGAAGGAGAGAGATGAATATATTACCATAGGACAGGATCCAACGACGTCATTCCAAGTGGCCTATTCTGGAATTTTCAACTGCATAAAGTCAGCATCTAGCTTGTGGTCCAGACTCCAAATATATGGATGGCCTCACTCTCCCTTACACATAATGAACTTTCAGCTCTGTCTACTCTTCCACACATAACTTTTACTGGGCACTGACTCTTCTGCTTTCTGCTGGACAAACCACCATTCTGGTGATGATGCGCAAGGTGCAGCTAAGCAGTGGCATATTTGCTCCAACACCCGTTGGCTCCCATTCCCTCTAAGAACAAGCTGAGGCACAAGCCTCGTATCTGCCAGTAAGGAGGCACTCTCCCATCTCCAACCCCAAGATATGGCAACAGGTCTCAGTGGCTAACAGGCTACAGCTTTCTTGTGGCTAGGACTGAACACCCTACCCTCTAGGAGGAGATTGAGCCTTTGGAAACCTAGCTGCCCTAAAGAGGCCAAGATCTCCCAGTGGAAAGCCCTGGGCTCTAGCTGCACTTTCAATCCTGAGGCCTCCCAGGTATACAGCTGGAAAGGGATCGCTCCAATTCTTCTCCCTTCCCTATTAGGACTCTGATCATGGCATTGAGAAAGCCTCGCTCCATTGTCTGGAATTACAGGTCAATTAGGGAAATAAGCACACACGACTCAGGCTTAGCCATGTGTAAATTCCACACAGGGTTGTCTCATGCCCTAGAGTGTCTGTAACAGAAGGGGTTTGAGGTTATCTGGCACCCATCCTCTGGACTCAAGGTCAGGTATGTGCAGACATTCTGCTAGTCGGCCGGAGAGCACTCTTCCAGGGCCACAGACCCAGATGAGTCTCCACAGCCATCCACAAAGACCAGTGAGGACACTAACTCATCCCAACTTTCTGTCCTCTGAAAGCCATACTTGGAGAATCCATCTCCAAGATTCTGTAGAGGCAACAGCAGTGTGCCCCTTCCTAATAAGCCCAGGTCTCGGGGAAACAGATGCAAGTCTGGGAATAGAGGACAGTCTTGAGGCCAAGAGGAGGAGACAAGTCCTTAGGGAGATAGGCTGGTAGGAGTTGTCTGAGAGGCAGAGAGAAGCAGCATGCTCTGGGCAAAGCAAAGTCAAACTGATCCTACAGCAGTACAAGGAAAATGAGGCGATGCCCATCTCTGCAACCCTAGGTGTCTGTTGGCAGGCAGACATGGGAGGGGAGACATGGGTCCTTTCTCAGGCTGGAGGCCATGTGCATGTCTCTCGGCTTCTCTTCAGCTTCCGTGGAGAAAAGGATGTCTCTGTATCCATACAATATAAGGGAAAGTCAAGGGTCTGCCTGTGTATTCACATGGCCTTTTACGTTCAGGAAGAAGGAACAAAGACTATTCCGTTTAGTGACAAGAAATGGAATTCCCCCTCTCTCAAGAGCTGTTTAACAGGCTTGGGAAAGTCAAGGCTAAGAGTTCAAGACACAGACTGGGAACAAAGCAGCTAGGATTTAGAGCACTTCCTCCTAAAAAAGTCTAAGGATGTCTTCACAAGGAATGGAGACTCCAACTCATAATCTTGGAGACTGAGATAACATAATCTGCCCTTTTGAGAAGTTCCCAGATTGGGGGGGGTGCTGGTTAGGATTCAGAGACCACCTCAGACTTTGTATGACTATTTGTTTGGATGATCTGGAGCTGCACCTGCTTGCTTCTGAGGTAAGGGATGCTGATGAGCAGGGCAGGGGTAGCCCATGCTGTCTCCAGAGAGGATTCTTTCACCATTCTGGCAGAATACTTCTTAAAAAGATCTAAGGACTTTCTATCCTCCAAAAATGGGATGGGGATGTGGCTTGCTTGGTAGAGTGGTTGCTTAGCATGGATGAAGTTGAGTTCCATCCTCAAGACCACATAGATCTTGAGATCACATAGGCTTGGGGGCCCTGCATGTAATCTCGACATGTAGAAGGTAAAGGCAAGCTATCAGAATTTCAAGGTGACCTTTGGCTACTACTCTAACCAATCCAACCTAGGCTAGAGGTTGTCTCAAAAACAAACCCCAAAACCAAAAACCAAAAACCCAAGATCTAGCTTTGTGACTTGGGACCTGGCTGCCAGGGAGGCTTAAGCAATGGATATGGAAACCCTGTGGTGACCTACCGGATGTAGGGCGAGGACCTGGGAGCATTCAGTTACCCCAGTGTCTATCAAGGCTCTGTGTGACTTTAGGAGGATCCTCATCTTTCCTGATTTCCAGAGTAATTTTCCTCCAATCCAGCAGCAAGGGCTTGAATGTTGTGAACCAGATTCCAGTAGTAGTGATGGGCGAGTCTCTACCGTCTCCAGCCTTCCCAACATGGTTGGAGGTCAGAAAGAAGGCCTACTAGAGGGCCTGTTATGTACATCTGAGGAGCAGGCTTTATTCCTGGGGCACTGGAGGTTCTTCTCCTGCCTGACATCTACCAGCCACCAAGGCTGGCAAGGGGGCCATGTGGCTTCCCCAGAGGAAGAGGCATATGATCCAGCAGTGCCATCCAGTCCTTATTTTTGTCCTTTAGCAAAAGTGGAAGAGTCGGGGTAGAAAGAACTCTTGGTTCTGCTTAGATTGCAGACCCAGGCTACCCCAGTGCCACTCTTCTCTGGCCTCTAACATACACCTACTTTCCTACCCCACTGTTCTGGTTTCAAAGGATTCTTATGTCAGGCAAAGCCTCGTACATAAATAGAATCCTCTATAGTTACAGTCCAGCTAGCTTTCCCTCAGGGTACACCTGACACATCTGTGGATGGGCTTTTGGATGCTGAGGAGAGTGAACATGAAGCCTAACGCACTTCCTGAGCAGCCACAGGAGTCTTTCACTCCCTGGGGATCCACAGGCTGCAGACAAAATGGGGGAAGGGCAGAGACTCCCAAGCTGTTCCCTCAGGTCAGCCTCACCCTCACTGCTGACCAGCACTCCTGATTGCTCTCCAGCTTTTGACATGGCAGGGGAGTATCCTGCCTTCTCAAGCAAGACACTTACAGACAACTGTTAGGGAGCTCATCCTGGAAGCTGAAAGGGAGAGAGGAGTCTGTGTGCAGGACAGGCCGTTCCTGAATACTGCCACAGCCCGATACCATCTGCCAGCTGCCAAAGTCTGTGGAGAGAGAGGATCCGGGCAGGGGATGGTCCACTGATCTGGGGCAGAGAGGAGAGAGAGGGAGATGATGCAGTCAGTCATATGCCTGACAGGGGTGCCCTGGGGAAGGGGGGCAACACAATGGCCCTGTGCCATGGCTGAGGTTCTGATAGAGCAGCTGAAAGCCAACTACTTTCTCCAGAAGAACAAACAAAACTGGGTAAGGAGTGACTGAGAAAGAAGACTATGAGGTGTGCTGGGCTGTGAGGAGTGCTTTGTGCAGATGCAGAAGCCAAAGACCAAGAGCAAAGCAGGGCAAACGAGGTTCCCCAGACCCAAAGCCCATGGCGGATGTGCCTCTCCTGGAGGCTGCTGCAGTAAAGTAGACCTCAACAGGAAGAGGAGGCTGGAGCCGGGCCCAAGGGCAGTCACCCACTCTGTGACATGCATCTGTGCCTCGTGGAACCCAGGGCCACTGAGATCTTATCAGAAGGGAGGACAAGCCTTTTGGAAACTGTGGAGGGTGTTGACCTAGATGGATGAGTGAACAGACAAAGCCCCGAGGTCCCCCTTCTTCTGCAGTTCCTTCCAGGAGCCAGAGTTTGCATTCAAGAGCATCACAGAGCAAATTCATGGCTGTGCCCGGAGGGGAGGGATGAGTCAAATCAGGCTGCAAATTGACAGCTTCATCAGGCCTCTTCCACAAGAGGGAGGTTTGGAGTTGGGGAGGGAGCTGTGCTGCCTTTCCTCCTCACTCAGTTTAAGCTTTCTACTCTGTCCTGGACAGCAGCTGACCTGTGGGCGTCTGGGAGGCTTCAAGTCAGTCTCTGGCATCAAGCCCAGAACTTACTACATAGCCCAGGCTGGCCTCAAATTTAAGCAGTCCTCCTGTCTTAGCCTCCCAAGTGCTAAGATTGACCTTTTATTGTTTAACTTAAAAATAGCAAGACAGCTCCCACAAGGATCCAGAAACAGGGCTACAGTATAAACAGTGGTGGGCCAGGAAGCAGGGAGCAGATACTTTACCTTACTTAGCTGCTGGCATCAGTGGATCCTGAGGTGACAATACTCTCCCCCCCCATTATTTAGCATATATATATAATTTTTAAATTTTACACACATTGGTATTCTGACTCTATCTATGTCTGTGTGAGGGTATCAGATACCCTGGAACTAGAGTTACAGACAGTTGTGAGCTATTGTATAGGTGTTGGGAATTGAACCCAGGTCCTCTGGAAGATCAGCCAGTGCTCTTAACCACTGAGCCATTTCTCCAGCTCCTGATTAGCCAAATCTTACTGTCAAGCACCTGTGACCTAAGTACAGCTCTGCTGATCTCTTTGAAAGAAGCCTGAAACAAACTATGTAGTCCAATCCTCCTGCCTCAGCTTCCCACCATACCAGGATACAGAGTTTCATTTTCATATCACACTTATGTATGTTTATGTAATCCATGCATGCCATAGTGGATGTCAGAAGACAACCTGCAGGAGGAGTTGCTTCTCTCCCTCTACATGTGGATCCTTGGGATTGAACTTAGATCATTAGGCTGGTCATCTCATAGGCCTTATGAGGTAGGTTTTTTGAACTCCAGTTTTACTATATACAGGTTTGTTCTGAATTAGAAGCACCTTGAGAGAAGGGGAAACAAATGGCTTTCCACATTAAAAGCTGCTGCAAACTGAAATGTCCGCAACACTGGGCCTTGCCACATTCATCACTGTGGTGACTCTTGGCCAAGTGTGATGTCTTTAGAGATGAAAACAGGACATGGTCTACTACCTGACAGAAGCCACGAGGGTGCATGAAGCCAAGCTTTCTGGTTTCTAGATAGATAAACCTCAGACCTGTGAATCACAGCCAGTCTCCAAAGAGAAGCCTGCCTTGGGTGTTCTGGCTATGCTGGGCCTTTAACCAATACAAACCTCCAGGGGCACAGCCTGGCTCCTCAGTCTCCACAGCCTATCTGATGGGTAGATTCTTTTCCTATTTTTAGCAGCTTATGGGAAACAGCTTCTAAGACTCAAAGGAGATGAAGGGGGGGGGGGGGGGGGGCACCTGAGAAGAGGGAGCTGGAAAGATGAGACATTCCTAGACAAGTAATGCAATGAAGTTTCTCAAGGCCCATCCTGGAAGCTCGCCCAGGGAATCACAGCCAGGGAATGTATTACTGCCTAGTGCCCCTTAGGTCCTCTGGTCCCCTGGGGTTGTCAATTCCGTTTGCTTTCCAGATACAATACCAGCACAGGAAGAGGGTATCCCTCTTACAGAACAGAAACAGCTTTCAGTGAGTAGCCACTCTTGAGAGACACTGAAAATTTTCAAAAATGAGCACATGAGAAACTCCTACCTGAAGTAAAGTCAAAGCATAGGTTATGTAAAATAACCATTCAGCTCTTGCATTTGACAGACACTTGATACTTAGATTACAGTAGACTAAATGGACAGGCTAGAGACAAAAGCTAAGTGTCCTTCTGGAGGAGCCTGTGCCTGTATCTGAGAAGGGAGGAAGACCTGTAGTAAGCTCAGTGCTTCGGTCGCCCTCACCAGCTTCAGTAAGGCTTCAGCCCAGTGCCCTGGGCTCCTTTACAAGTGTCAACAAAGCCTGCAAAGAAAGAAGTCTCAATTTTTGCCTCCTGCTCAAGCACCAAAAACATGGCCAAGCATCCCTTAAACTGGAGCTGTGGAGTTTTGTTCTAGACTGGGGACCTGGACAACCTAAGCCTCTGTATAGGATGGTGGCTTCTTGGCAGCATTTTAGTCTTGTAGCTGGCCCCAGCCAAGGCCCAGCCTCCCTACCTCCTGGCAGACACCTGGCTAAGAGCGGTTATAGCCAGGGGGCTTTTAGCTTCTAGTTTCTATACTGAAACACAAAAAATATGGATACAAAGAGTACTGGCTAAATTCAGGCAAAAAATAAGTCTGAGTGAGGCACCAGTCCTGGCCTTTTACCAGCTGTCCAGTACCCAGACATGTCTGGCAGATAAATGATTGATAAGAACAGTTCCTAAAACAAAAAGAAAACAGCCTCAGTTTTGTCATGACCATTTGTGGAAAGAGTAAGTACCATGCCAGGTATGATACCTTACCTGGTATCATACTTACTTCATTACTCCCGTTTTACCCTAATTTACAGGGCTCAGGAGTCACCGTTGCCGTTTAAGAATTGGGTAAAAGAACTAAGCTCAGAGCAGACTGATTTGTCCCCCAAGTTGCACAGCTGGGAAGACTAAAGCTGTGACTGAAATCAGGTCTGGCCCAAGCCCATTCTAGCCAATTTTCCTTAAAAACAAAACCAAAAGAAGACAGGGGCTCACCTTGTAGCCCTGACTAGCTAGCCTGAAACTACTGTAGGCTAGGCCAACTTCAGACAGGTCTACTGCCTCAGCTTCTCAAGTGCTGGGATTAAAGGTGTGTGCTACCACTGCTGGCTGATTTTCCTTCTTAATATGAGTAAGGCTAGCTCATGAAGATGTCTTTTAAGTGTGGCTGGAAGAAGAGGCCTTCATGAGAGCCTTCTGTGTGAGAAAGGAAAGCAAGGGGAGTCTCAGGAGCTGCCAGCAGCCACTGTGGCAAAATGGAGAGAGCTAGCCAGAGAAGCAATCAAATAGGTTTGGGACCCTGATAAGACTATACCTGAAGTACCTTTTCCACTTGTCTCGTTTCCCTTATTGCTTTCTGAAAGCATCTGAACCAATCATGCTGTCATAGAATGTCTGAAAGTAGCTTCCTGTCTGAAGAATCTGATTACAGACTAGAAAAAGGAAAGCCATTCACCAGGTAGCAAATTATGTGAAGGGAATATCTGAGCCAGGTCCTAGATTTGAGGGGCTTATGTTACCTGATCCTCTTGACACCAGTCATAAAGGCAACCTGGGATGCATCTCAAGGATGGCTCCATGGCCTCTCTGCCCAAGAACCTGGGAGGGGAACTCTTACTAAACTGGTCTTTCCCTTTTTACATTTGAGCATGTTGGCCCAGCAAGGGCTCCTACATTCCTATATTAACTCATGGAGAAGTCTTGGGGCTCAGTCTTCTCCCCAAGGTCTCAAGCTGGGACTGCCTTAGGTATGTTAGCACCCTGTAAGATCTGGAGCAGGAGAGCAACTGTGTGGTGCAGAGACCAGTGAGTCTTCTCTGCTATATAAAGACAGCCTGGGACAGAGCTCAGTGCTTTAGAATGAGCAGGTGGCAGGCAGTGCCTGGGGGAGCAGCTAACTGGGCAGCAGAGGTTAGTTCCTGTGTTGCTACTTAGCTATTCAACCAGGCTGTTGGGTGTCTCTCAGCCAAGTTCATCTGCTCTTCAGGCAGCTCGGCATCAAGCTGGGCTCAGTGGTGGCACCATCTTCCTTGGTCATGGACAGCACTGTGCCAGAACCCCCACCCTCACTCCTAAGGAGACCTAAGAGCAGAGATTAAGGCCATGCCAAGGTGGAGCAGGGCAACTTCCTAGTTAAGGCTGAAGTAGGCATGTACAATTAAAACCCCGTGGCTGATTATACAACAGCAGTGAAAAGCCAAAAACTCACTGTCTTCCCAGTGACAAATGTGGATTACAGCCTGGTAAGAATCAACACTCCACAGAACTTCCCTCCCCATTTCATGAGCAAAACCTCAGATTCCTCTCATGGGGTCCTGCTTTAAGAAAGACAACTTTAGAGAATGTGGAGCACACGAGATCTAGCACACTCACATTGGCAGTGGCAGTGGTAGTCAGATAGCTTTCCTAAAGGGGTGTTTTCCACACAGAACTGCCTACAGCACTGAAGACCTGATTGGCTACTGTTACCTAAGAGGCAGAGTAGCTAATGACGGGATCCCTCAGGCACTTTAAGATAAAAGAGACTAAATTAATTTTAATGTTAATGGAAATACATAATTAGAATGCTCCAAATCAGAATAGTGTAGTCTTTCAAACCAATGGCAGCAAATGTCCGATTCAGAACTGCTTTGCCTGGCTAGCTGGCCTAGCTCTGGGCAGATGCTCACAGAAGACGCTGCTCATAACACACTGTCTGTCCAGTCCCCATTTAAGTCCATATTATCTCTGGCCTGGCCTTGGGGTATAGGGCTTTGAGGTTGGAGGTGGATCCCCCAATACTCCTAAGCTACCCAGAGAGAGGACCTTTGTGGCCATTCGGGACCAGCTGATAAAGTCACTCAAAGGTTTAAAAAAAAAAATGCACAAGATTGAAAGATGTTATGACAGTAGGTGGGGAAGCAGAAGGGGATGATAAAAACATGGATGTAGGAATACTGAGAGGTCAACATGGGAGTTGTCTACAGCTGGGGAAAGGCCAGGATGGCAAGGAGAACCTTCTGCTTTCCTTCCCAGTTACTCAGTGGCGCTACACAGGCAGAAAAGGAGGCAGGGACCATGAGCAAGAACCTCAGCTCAGACAACAAGAATCTTAATAGTGCCACTACAACCCAGAGTGGCCCTAAGGACAGCCAAGTGTAGATGAGGGGTCACAGCAACAGGCATACATGCCAGCCCCACATGTAGGATGTGAGCAGGGACAGGCAATGTGGCTGTCTGCTTGGCCCTGGCTCTATTTAGTCACAGCTACCAAGTCTCCAATGGGTTATAGTCTTGGCTCAACAAATACATCAGGGTTTGCAGATGGCACCGAGATGAAGGGCCCACTTGTAGGTAGGGCACATAGGACATAGAGGCCACCTCTGGCCAGAGCAGCTGGCATCAAGCTTGCCCACCACTCATCTGGTCTGCCTCCCTGAGGAAGATGCTTCAGCTCCTTACTCCATTGTCTCCTATTGTCCAGGGAGTGAAGGAAGGTACCAGAAGTTTTAACCTTTTAACAGGCCTGCTACCAAGGAGGACACTGAGTCAGAAAGCTACATGGACATTACATGGCAAAGCTGGGGTCAAGTCTAAGTGGGATTCCAGAACTCACGCCCATTTTGCTAATCCTTTAGTGACCTCTCGGCCCTACAGTGTTCTGTTCTCTTCAGAAGGGCTATGAATTCTCTAGGATTTAGGCAGGAAAGCAATCAGCACACTCAGTCATTCTTTGGAATATGAGATGGAAAAAGTAGGACCATCAGCTAGGAAATGCTTTCCCCAAAGTGCCAGACCACCCCCACCCACATTCACTAGCCCTGGTGCACACTCGGTTTTCACTCTACCCAGGAGGCAACATCCTGGTCTCACTGTGGCACACCTGTCCTGACTCAGTTGATGCTTTTCAATACATACTGAGTTGCTGTGGTATTCCACAGCCACACATCTGGTTGACCCCTTCTCTGCTGTAGCTTCTCCATCAGTGTGGACATGAGATGTGAGATGTAATGAACCCAGAGTGTTCCAACTCATCTTGAGTAACAATGGGTAGTCCAGAGGTCTGGGATCTTCCAAAGTTGACACATGGTGGTAAGTCCTGACCATCATTACAACGTTTGTGTACCCATGTACTGCACAGCATTCCAGGAAACAATTACACGTTTGTACAAACCAGTGAAGGCTCTGTGCCCCTACAGCAATCTCCTTCAAAAACAGTGGGCCTGCTAAGCATCCACTTCCTTCAGCTCCCAAGTAGCTATCCATCAAAGCACATACTAAGGAAACCTAGCTAGCTTAAATGTGAGATTCCCCACTTTCAACCTTGATGGAGGAAAGCCAGCCACAGCCTCCAGCAGGCTCCTTACCCCTTGAGGTTCCTTTACCTGGGTTTGGGGACCTCAAGAGGACTGCTGCCCATCCTGAAAAAGTTGTCAGAATGGTTTGAGGATGAAGAGCTAGAAGACTTGGCTTCAGTGAGCCCATGGTGTGAAGGTAGGCGGTCCTCAGAGGGCTGTGGCCGGCTCCAGAGCATACTCTGTGGGGAGGATGAGTGACTCTTCCTCCTGTGGCAGAAGAGCAAGGTTGTCACAACTGGATCCCCAGAGTCACTTTGTCTATGGGGAAAATGTCATACACAGTAGGCACAAATACTTGGCCCTCTCCCAGACTCAAGCCCAAGGTAACAAGGGCTGGGACTTTAAGAAGCTAAAACAGTCAAATGCACTGGCCCATTAGCCTCAGATCATTTGAGAACATTGTTCTTAGTGGCACACTAGCTGCTCCATTCCCTCACTCACAAGTGCTACACAAACTCCTGCCACATTTCAGTGGGAGGACCCTCAAAGCACCCACCTTTTGTTTTAAGATGGCTCCACACCTCCTGGCACACTGGATGGATAGGTGCTCTTCCCTCCCCCATTTCATTGCTGCTCCTTGGTCCCATTGGGAGCACCAGCCCTTTATGCTTCTGGGGTACCATGCAGTGCCCCTCACCAACCAGATGGCTGGGCTCTGAGGCCCAGTACTGACAGCAGGGGATGAAGCTATGTTCTCAAGCCTTCTGTGAGAGTCCCCTTTGTTCCTGGGGCTAAAGCCTGGCTCCCTAGGGCTGGTGGCCTTGGACTACAGCTGTGAGTTTACTCTATCTCAGTCTGGCCCCTCACCAAGCTGCCTGAGTTGGTGCTCCTGCCGGGGCAAGTTCCACAGTCTCATAGCTGAAGCTCCCCACGGCTCCAGGTGAGTGCTCCAAGACCAGGGAGAAGTCGCTGCTTAAGCTGGTTGTGCTGCCTCGATCTCTGTGTCCTGAAATCAGCAGAAAGTTAGCATGCTACTCCTTCCCCACAACCAGTCCACTACCCATCTCCCTTTTCAACACTATATGGCTAGACAAATAAGCTTCTAGCACAGTTCCCCATGTGGTCTATCCTCAGATAGCTATGGTGAAGAAGTAAAGTCTATTAGGGGTCAGGACTCACTCAACATGCAGATATCTTCCACAGTGAAGCCTACATCCCGAGTTGGCAAACTCTTCCTCCTAGAACGACAACCCCAAGCAGGACATTTCAGCTGTAGCTGGAGTTTTCTCTGTTCTCTCCTCCTGACTTTGCCCAGCCTGAACAATAGTTCCAAACCCTGGCACCTCATGGAATGGGTCCTACCAACAGAGTCTGCCAAGCAACAGGCCCACTTCCAGATCTGCCAGCTTAGCTCTGCTGGCCACATGTGCCAGACTGAAGTCAGCACAGCCTGCTTTTTCTGACCAGCTTGGCCACCTGGGACATATGTATGGCCCAACAAGTGGTAACTTTGGGAAAAGAAGACAAGTCAACTCACAGGACCCAAGTTCTCACTGGAGTTCCAGAGCAACTGCCAGATATATGAGATTGTTCTCCAGGCTGGAAACAGATTTCTGCTCCACTGTGCAGATGACCAGGCTGGTTTTGAACTCTAAGATCTGTCTGCCAAATTCTGGGACTAAGATGTGCACCATGATGCCCAGCTGAGTAGGATTCAGTTTCTATAGGGTCATATTCTGAATTTTTTTTTCTTTTTATGGTACCAAAGCTTGAACTCAGGGCCTGGAGCATGGGAGGCAGGCACTGAGCTACTGAGCTACATCCCACTCACAGATGGCTGACCATAGGGCTCACGACCGATGAGCTCAAGCTTGGGAGGAGGTCTGTCCACACGCTGGCTCCTCCTACAGCATCAGCAGCAGCATCTTCCCCATAAGCGACTACTCATTCCCTGATCACTTAGATCCTCAGCATGGACACTCGCTCCAGTGCTCAGGGCTGGGGTAAACGGCAGTGCCCCACAGTGTGGAGGACTGCCCCTTGAGTGCCTTTGCCTTCCTCCACTTACCTCTGGGTCTTCAGACAGAACTCTTCGGAGGTGATATGCTTCAAAAAATTGAAGCAAAAGAAGAAAATCTGAAGGAGAAAAAGCAGAGCACAGTGAGAAGCTAGCCTTTCCCAATGTGACGACAGAGACAGCAGAACATGCAGAAGAGTGCTACTGGCTGCTCTAGTTAACTCCTTTTGGGCAGTGACCTTCTTTGGGGACCCTGCTAGATCTTCTGGTTTATGACTGATGTGGGTGATACAGAGGGCTCAGCAAGGATGGGCAGGTGCCCATGGGCTGGGGGTAGGGAAGATGTAATGTGCTTCTTTTCTGAGAACAGAGGTCCAATGTAGAGCCTTCAAATCTTCAACACACATATTCTCAACTCTTACGATGAAAATAAGGAGTTCCCACTTCCATCTAAGAGCCCAGGGAGGCTACTGACAGGAGGGCAGCTGGGAGGAGAGTATCTTAGGCAAGGGGATTAGTGGATAAGGCAGGACAGAAGAAGAAAGGCATGGAGAACAGTGCACCAGATACAAGATCTGAACTGGGTAGGGCAGCCATAGTCTGGCTGACTGTACTACGCTCTGGAACTGTGAGGCCCAAGTCTTCACTGTGAAGTGGATACAGGCAGATTGACTCTGGCAGCAAACCCATTCCCATGAGCAAATCACAGCCAGGGCACTAGTCCAGTGGCCTCTAGAAACACACTAGAGGCTTTGGTTTATTTAACCTGCACAACACACAAGGCTATACACCACCCACGAAAAAGTGCAACCCATGAGACACAGAAAAACATCCATACAGTCCCACAAAGCCCTGTAAGATTTCCTCAAAAAACGGCAGAGGGTTGGCTCACATCTGGTAGGTAGGAAATGCTGCATTACATAAAATGACACAGGTGTTTCATCAGACTCTTGAGCCTTTTAATGTGCTAATGTATCCTGAGAACCTCAAAGATAGAAGGTAGGGTAAAGAGGCACTTAACAGTTTTTAGCTTACTATATTACAGAGGTGTTTGTAGTCTGGAGAGGCAAAAGCCCCAGCTCTCCAATCCTGGAGACCCTATGCATATACTGGTGGGACTCAGAGCCCAGTCCACTCAGCCTCATTTTTGCCCTTATTCTCTGAAGGGAGCATCTGGCTTGTTCTGGGGGAGGAGGCAGATGGAGTAGAGGACAGAATGTCCTAAAGCACCAGCAAAATCTCCAAAGAGGCTACAAAGAGGCCTTCCGCACAGATTTCAATGCCAAAGGCTCTGCCTCTGGCAGAGTTCATGGGGCCTCTGAGGAGCAGGCTTATGAGCTCTGCAGACACATAAGTACTCAGAGAGATTGGAAGGGAGATGAGCAGCTGGGCAGAAGCAACAAAAGCAAGCTGGAGATAAGATGCCCAAGGAGGAAGCAAGCTCAGGGGAGAGAGTGAGAGCGAGAGCGAGAGGGAGAGAGGAGGATGCCTCTTGATATTGGGGGTGAGTGGAGACAGAACCAACACTGTCATGACAGGCATCTGTGTCTATCCATGAGACACCAGGAGACTCAAGGTGAAGCCTGCTGCTCAAGGTCACCTAGGCAGTAAGCAGGACCAGCAGAGACACACTCACGCCAAACTTGAGATCTGACGCTGGGGGAACTACAAGCAGGCAAGGATGTGGGAAGGGCAGAGAGGGCAGAGGCAGCAAGGCAGAGGAGGCAGAGGAATCTGACTACACTGAAAAGAAAGGACAAGGAGAACCTGGAGGCAGCCTACAAATGAGAAGCATGCAGAACCCTGGGTGTACAGACCACCTTGGAAAAGGGAAGGGACTCTGAGTGTCTTGGAAAAGGGCAGGATTAAAGACAAAGCACTCCATGTTTCAACTTTTGGCATGTAGAGTCATGAAAAGCAACTTGTACACTGGTTCCAGAGCCAACTGCAGAAAGAAGACAATTAGCCTAAAATGATCGTAGTAGCTGTGGCCAGAACTTTCTCTGTGGTACAAAGGGAGTCCAAGGTCCACACAGGGCTCTGTGCTCTTGCTTTTCCCACCACACTGTCTGAGGGAAGGGGGATGGCAAGCTCATCCAAGTATCCTGGGTGGAGAAACTACCTTCACAGCATGGCAACCAGAATCAATGTCCTGTCTTAAGGTATGGAAGATGCCTACGTGGGGGTACTTACCTCCTCCCCTTTGCTGAGCCGATCTACCAACATGTGTCTGAAAAAGAAGAGCGAGAAGGTTAAAGCACAACACAGGGCTGAGGCAGACGTGTGACCCACAGACAGACCAAGTTTTTGGTACCAAGGCATCACATGAAGCCTGCCAACATCTTTGATCCTTTCCAAAGGGAGCCAACTTTTTTCCTCCTCAGCTGTTCTCTTATCTCTGTTCCTCATAAGAGAAGTGAATACACCATGCTCACACACACCTCAAAGGCCGGTGTTCCTTGAACACTTACCCAAAGAGGAACCAGTCATAGGCCACAGTCAGGTAGAGGATCTCAGCAGGCTTCAGGGATGTGTGAATTAGCCCGTCCTGGAGAGAAGAAGGGTGTCAAGATCAGAAAGCTGCCTTCTTAGTACAGGCCCCCTTGCTCCAGGAGCAAATCACACCACAGACTGGGTAACATGACCACTCTTAACCCTACCCCATCCCCCAATCATGACACCTGCTGAATGTGCCCATACACCAAAGCCTTTATGCATCCTGGAGACACACCAAAGGGTAGAACCTAACAGGGTCTCTGCATTCTTCCTGACCCCAGCTCTCTCATACTCACAGCCCACAAGGAAAGGCGTAGAAGAGAGATGAAGAGGGGGGTCCGATCCCAGCCCGAGATACAGTGTACCAGCAGCCCGCTGTCATCTGTTGTGGAACAGGAGCACCAAATGAGAGAACCAGACAGGGCTCTTCTGAAACCCCTGTCTGAAAAAGGCCTCCAGGCCAGCTTAAGTGTTCCTCTTCCCCAGGGACCTGTTCAAAGTTTCTCCAATTTCATGCTAGAAATGAGTGGGTGGGAGCATCTGTCTGGGTTTCTAGCATCTTAGTTGAAGTTCTCTTTTTAATTGTATTCATTTTAATTGTGTGTGTGCACATAAGAGTACACAGGTCAGAGAACAGCTTGTGGGAATTTGTTCTCTTCCACCATGGTCCTGGGCATAGTACCCAATTCATTAAGCTTGTGCAGCAAGTGTGTTTTTAAGCTCTCGGCACACTCTGGGTAAGAAGCCAGCCCAAAAAGTCTCTTTGGTTTGGGGGATTCAAAGAGAGGTGACCACACGTTCCCAGCCAGTGGTTTGCAGGCTTGGGACGCTGGGATACTTACCATCTCGGTTCATGATGAAAAGCAGCAGTTTCAGGTAGTTCTGTGTTTGTTGTACTAGGTCCCAACTCTGGTGGGCAAAACAGAAAAGGGATCGAGACATAAATATGACCAGGAATGGACATTTTAAATTACTACCAAAACAACAACAAGCAACCAACCAGAACAAAAAAACACTGTCTGTGCATGGTAACATGAGCCCATGACCTCAGCACTCACTTAGGAGGCAAGAGGAACATGAGTTTGAGGCCAGTCTTGGCTACATACCAATTATTCAAAGTACCAAAACAAATATGAATGCCAGCTAGGGTGTGGGTCAGTGGCAGGGCACATGCTTTGTATTTAAGAGATGCTGGGTTCTGTGCTAGCACCAAAAAATCTAACAAAAATGCTGCCAGGTGTGATGGTATGCCTTTGTAATCCCAGCACTTAGGAGGCCAGAAAGGAGGGTCAGTAAAATTCAAGACCAGCCTCAGCTACGCCAGCCTGGGTATGAGACCCTACCTCAAGCTAACAAATGGTGCCAAGCATGAGTTTTTGGGCAGCAGTTCTACAAAGCTCTTGATCTTCAGCTCTAGGCCTCAAACTCCAAATACCTTAAGACTCATTCCTCAGATCCAGGAGTTCTTGCATTCATCTCCCTGAACCCTCCCTTACTCAGTGCTCTGAGAGTAAGGAAGAAAAGTCTTCAGCAGGTGCTCTCAAGCAACCACATGCCGGGGGTGGGGGGGGGGGGGGGGGGCAGGGTGGATACTGTTTGCATACAGCCTTTGATCTTCGTCACATGGAAACCAACACAGATACAAACCTTCTCAATCACCCTTTCACTCGCCTTTACTGCTGTTCACTGCATGCTAGCTCTTTTTCATCAGTGTTTAACATTGTGTGTGTGGGGGGGGAGGGAAGAGGGAGAAGAGGGAGAGGGAGAAGGGGGAGGGGAGAGGGGGAGAGAGAGGGAGAGAGGGAGAGAGGGAGAGAGGGAGAGAGGGAGAGAGAGGGGGAGACGGGGAGAGGGGAGAGAGACCCACTCCTGGGGTTGAAGAGCACTGGCTGCTCTTACAGAGGATCAGGATTCAATTTCCTGCACCCAAATCTGTAACTGCAGTTCTGAAGTGGCTCAAGGGAATCTGATATCTTCTGGCCTCCTTGCACATTTGTGGCATTGGACACTAGTGCACAGACATGTATGCAGGAAAAACACCTATATGCATTAAATAATTTAATTGTTGTAACACTACATTACATGTAATACTCCTGGCCATGGCATGTATGTGAAGGTAAGGAGAACTTCTGGGGCTCAGTTCTCTCCTCTTCCCTCTGTATGAGTTCAGGGGATCAAATCCAGGTTGTCAGGCTTGGCAACAACCAACCACTTTTATCCACTGAGCCATCTGCTGCCTCCTTTTTCTTTTTTAGTGATTGTCTTCCTATATTAGCCTAGGTTAGTCTGAAACTCATGTTCTTTCTGCTTCTGCCTCTTTAGTGGTGGGATTACACATAAGTACCACCATGCCCAGCACTACACTGTCTTTTGATGAATAATGTACATAGTGTAGGCTCACTGGGTGGGAGTCAGGAAATACATGCTGCCAAGAATCTGTTTAAGCTAAGTGAGAGGGCTAGACCAGGCACTACGGAGCAGCCCACTCTCAATCTAAATTCCATGGAGGGGTCTGACCCAGTTCTGCAGAGCCATTTTCCCTTGCTAGGGACAGCCTCTGCTCTCTTAGGACACAACTGCCTATCAGCATTCGGGGCTGTGCAGAGAGGGTGGTGCATGCCAACGAAGAGAGCACTTCCCTAGGGGGGAAGGGAACACGGCACCTGTAATTGCAATGGTTTTCCCAGGAATTTAAAGCAGACTCATTTACCTGACCCTCCCACGTCCCCAGAGAGTTGTGACCCACTTTCAGCAGCTCCAGAGACCTGCTGCAGCAATGTGCTAATGAAGCTATTACTAGCAGGATCGTGAGGGTCTCTATACGCATCTGGCTCAACATGTAAGACACATTATTGCCAAGAGATTTCCTCTGAGCAGGGATTCTGCAGAGTGAGGACAGGAGCCATTGAGCAGGAAGTCTCAGGTTAGGCTTGCTGTGAAGACAGCAGCTGCAAGGGGAGGGCAGGGACCAAGGTGGAGGGCTCTGCAGAGCGACAAGCGGTGCAGATCTAAAGGAGACTTGGATCAGGAAGACATAGCATGTGCCCAGGGCTGGGCCCAGGTATCTGTGGGGAGGTCCACACTGGGGAGACCCAAAGCCACACAAGATGGGCTGAGGAATGGGTCTGGTAGCACCAGACTCGAGGATTTTAGGGAAAATGAACAACAGTTAAGATCACCCAGTGAGGTATAGCACTAGAGAATTTGGGACTCCAAAGCTAACACGCAGAGAGGACAGAGTGCACTCCTGGCTGAAGATGACATGGGGAAGACTCAGTGAGACCAACTGACTTGACTGCTTCGATCAAGGAAGTGTTTCTTTGACTTGCTATCCTGACACCATCACGTGCCTGGAATCACATCCATGTCCATTCTCTGAAACCAGCTAGCCAGCAGCCTGGTTCTCACTGACATGAAGGCACTCCAGCATGCCTCTGTCCTCATAGAGCTTACAGAGCATATCTCTAAACCTGTGACTAGAGCTCAGTGGAAAATTCCACGATAGATACCCAGGGGGCTAATGGGAAGGTAGATCCAGGCATCCAATCATCAGGGATGGGGAGAGGAGGCAAATCAGGAAAGTCTTCCTGAAGTGGACACAGGCCAAATCCTGAAGGGCAAGGTGTCAGCCAGACAGGAGGAAGCTGAAAAGAGAGCAGCCAGGCAACAGAACAGGGCTTGGGAAAGGTGGCAGGGCTTGGGAAAGGTGCCAGAAGAGCTACTTGTCCTGTCTGAGGCAAGTGGGCAAGCAGAAAGGGAGACTCCCAACAGCTGTCAGCTTGTGACAGTTAAACAGTGTGGATGGAGAGCCAGCTCCATCTTTAAGGTTTCTGCAGTCAAATGAGGTCAGGCAGCTCTGCACTTCTAACAGAACACATTAAAAAGAAAAATGAAAAGCTGCTAAGCCCAGATGTGGAAAACCAGACTTTGTGAGGTCCCCTGGAAATAGATCCCTCTGGTGGACGAAAGTCATTGGGTTACATCCAGAAGACTAACTCTCTAGGTCAGAAGCAAGTAAGGAGTGCTGTGTTGTGATGGTGCACACCTTTAAGATCTCTGAATTCAAGGCCGGTCTGATGGTCTACACAGAGAGTTCCAGGTCAACTAGGGCTATATAGTGAGACCTTGTCTGGGGGGAAAAAGCACATGCAAAAAGACAATAGACAAGCAGTTCCTCTTTGTCTGGGATAGGGAATGTCAGAATACCACAGCATTTGCACAAGGGTCTCAAAAGATAGGAAACAGAGTCCCTTGGCCACACCATCTCCTTTATACTGCCTGCATGCTCAGGCCCTCACCTGATACTGGCTCCAGTCAATGTTCAGAGATTGAGTCAGGAAGTTGGGGATGTTCAATGGGGCATCGACGTAGTCCTAAGGACAGAATGACACTGAGATGTAATTGAGCGGCAGATGTACTTGTAGCAACAACAAGTCCTAGCTCTGAAGCTGAAACAGCCCTCCATAGTGCTTGCCCTCTTCTGGGACAGATGCTTGGGGTACTCTGGAATAGCTTAAAAAGCAAAGTGACCAGGTCATTATGGCTGAAGGAAGTTTATGTCAGAAGCTGAAGTATTTGAAGCTTTAAGAAGCAAAAGCAAGCCATTGGAGGCTCCCTGCACACAATCTGTTACCTGAACAAACAATGCTGCTTCCAGAAAGCCATGAAAAACAGGGAGAGGAAGGCTGTGCTGTGAGACATTCACACACACATGCAAGTAGCAGAGGAAGACATACTAATTCAGGCAGTAACAAAGAAAAGAAGAAAAGGGTAGTATTCTCCCTGCGAGGATGACTAGCTCTCTGTGGTCTCCTGTTACAAAGCAGCAGACTTGAATACTGTTACACATACCTGCTTCCAGTTAAATATGAGCCCTTCAGCCATGTAATCCCGATCTTTATATTCCTTGAAGAATTCACAGCCTGGAAAAAAGGCAAGGTTACAACATTTCCTGTTCTGGTCAAAAAAAAAAAAAAAAAAAAAAAAAGGCTTCTGAGACAGCCCTAGGTGCAAAGGACTCGCCCAGCCTTCTAGCCTGGTGGCCTTGGAAGCGTGAGATCAACAGCCAGAGCAAGCTCCTGACATCACTTTATTTCTAGCTATACAAGGTCCCAATTGTCCCCAAGACTGTGTTCCCTGGTCACTAGTGATGCAAATCCCTTTTACTTCTACAAGCTCAGTCATAGCAGGAGTCCACTGTCTTGCAGAAGTTGAGGCATCGTCTTTGAAAATTACACAGCTTGAATATACAACTTTCAGAGAGGACTGCATGTCCTTCCTTACTCCAGACATGTGGACCATGCCTGAAGCTAACAAGTGCTCAGCTGACATCACTATCGCCAATGCAGCAGGTAAAGGTACTTTATTATTCCCAAGAAACTATCAGGTGAGGCCTTAGCAACACAGGGAGGAACTGGGCAGAGAAGAGGCTTTGAAAGCAAGCCCAACTCCTAAGTGCAGTTTTTACCCACACCTGTGACTGGGATTAAGTTGGTGAATGTCATAGAGGCCAAATTTCCCCACTTGTGGGATGGTTGCTTTAGGCTGAAATGTAGTAGTACATGTAAGATAGTATAGTCAGCTGCACAGCTGCTCAGGTACCTGTAACACTCAAATGGCAATACATAACTGACATCACATGCATCTAAGCTTCTTGGCTTAGTCAACTAGTTTTGTTTTCTAGAGACAGAGTCTATGTAGCCCAGACTAACCTGGAACTGGCTATGCAGACCATGCTGGCCTTGAACTGAGGTCTATACCTGCCCCTGCCTCCTAAGTGCACCACCATGCCAGACTTAGTCAATTCTTGCTCTGCAAGCAGCACCTAGCTGCTCTGGTTACAGCCTGCCTTTGTTGGATGAACACACCCACTTTGTTAGTGGGTGCTCCTGTGGCATCAAGTCACAGGGTAAGGGAAGGCACTTGGAGAACAACTTCTTAGAGTGACTTTTGAATTCCTTAGCTAATGCGTGTGCTGATGCTAGCAGGCACATGGCTTTGGCTACACAAAGTCCAGTGAGATTCTAGAAGGTAGCAAATTCTTAATTCTGTGAGAGGCCAGAGGCTGAGTGCCCAGGGACTTCTGGGCTTGCCTCGGGGTAAAGAGGGCCTCTGAGGAGAGGAAGGTAGAGTCCTAGCCTATGTGTCCAACGTGGCTTTCCTTTCACATACTAATACCCCCATATTCAAAACGGACTGAGAAGTCAGGAGATAATCTTTAGCCATAACACTTCAGCCTATTTTAGGTGCCTTCCCAGGTGAAAGAACAGCTGTAACTATCAGAGGCTTTGAGGCTTATGAGCCTGGGCTAAGAGGAGACCCCAATTATCTCTAAGGGCACCATGAAATTTTCTGCTTTTCTCAACCCTGAATGCTAGATCAAGTCCACAGGCCCCAAGCTGAGTTATGAAAAACCCTATGATGCACACAATTTTCACAAGAAACTAACAAAATTAAAACAGACAGACATGGTGCCAGGCAGTTCCTGATCTCGTTATTACAATAAGCTTCTGAACCCACGAGTAAGGGCAAAAGCAGGGAGAGTAACACTTCACTTCAAAGGAAACACATTAGTCTTGTGCAGTAGCGTTTGGCCCCATCTCTTCTTATGCTGTGAAGGAAAAGTTGGGAGCACTGCCCATTTCCAATACAAGCTAAACTGATACTATCCTCAGTCCCCTGTGAGCCCTGAAGTTCTTATAGGACTCAAATGACAGTCCTTAAAGGCCTAAGATATCTTATGACTTTCAAGAACAGCAATCTCATTTCGTAAAGTGACACAGGCATGAAGAGAAAGTCAAGAACACAAGCATGTTAACTCAACTTTTCTGTCCCTTTACTCTTTACGGCTGTGTCTGGCTGGTTTTCATTTTGGCTTGTCCTTTGTACCCCCCTCCTTTCCCAACACACAAAATCATTAGACGAACGAAGTACATACAAATCTGATGGAAATAAATTCAGATCAGTCTTTATTTTATGCCACTCTTTTTGCTCAGTTTTGGTAAGTACTTTCCCCTCTACATACTGAGAACATCAACTAGATAACTGTGTATCTTGCTCCTCACCTTGTGTTAAGAAAGTCTCACCGTGTAGTCCTGGCTGGCCTGGACTACGCTACACAGATAAGATCTTACAGTGACTATCTCTGCCTCCCAAGTACTGGAATTATAGCTGTTTGTACCATGTGCTCCTGCTCACCGTACTGAGCATTATTCTCTATGACTATGGAATATTTGTCTCTATCAATGGAAGTACCATCATTTACTTTTTTGTTTTTTGTTTTTTTTGTTTTTTTCGAGACAGGGTTTCTCTGTGTAGCCCTGGCTATCCTGGAACTCACTCTGTAGACCAGGCTGGCCTCAAACTCTCGAACTCAGAAATCCGCTTGCCTCTGCCTCCCAAGTGCTGGGATTAAAGGTGTGCGCCACCACTGCCCGACTCATCATTTACTTTTTTAAAAAGCTTTTCCCCCAATTAATTTATTTCTTCACTTTATATCTGATTGCAGTCCCTCCTTTTCCTCAGTCCCTCTCACACGGGCTCCTCCTCCACCCCCATTTAATTAATTCTTAATGAAACTATGCCCTGATTTTGCTATTACAGGCAGACATTACACGAAGATCTTCACCTTAAGCCAGGTGGACTGTGACTCAATGACAGGTTATTAGGAAAATAACAAAGGGCGTTAACATCGAGGAATCTGTAGTTAAGTTACCAAACTACAACCAAAGACACCCTGCACAACTGGTTTTGGAAGGAGACAAATGCTACTTTTCCCAGCCATGCCCTTTTTGGAACTCGGATATAAACAAGCATATGGATGTATGCTCCTCAGGGAACACATCTTATCACATGGAGTAGCTGAGGCTGTGGTTTCCTAGTAGCCACTCCCACAGAGCCAATGATGGCTCCAGCACTGAACACAAGGGCATCTACTGAAGACTGGGTGGTTCTGAAGTAAGAAGCCTTTGCCTCAGTGAGCATCCAGCATCGTCAAGCTCAGTGGTATCTTTATAACCTACATCAGCCCAAAGTTGCTCTTAGGCAAGAGAAAGTTTCAAAAGCCTTTCTTCCCAAACTCCTCATAGGAACTATAATTTTCAGAGCCTAATAGGGCTAAACCAGGTGTCATTATTCCCATGGTATAAAAGAGGGAAATGAGTCTCAGAAGGTTGAGGGACTTATTCCAGCAAGGGCAGGGAGTTCTACCCAGTCCCACAGGGCACCAAACATATAGCTGGCAGAAAAGAATGTCACAAGACTGCATGGTAGACACTGAGGACTATCAAGAGTGGGTCTGAAGACCATCCACCATTTGATGAGAACACTCGCAAGAACTAGCTGAACTTACACAGTTCTGTGAGAGGCTATAGCAGCCTGCTATTGGCTACATGTCTCTTAAGACTAGGACAGAAAGCCCCAGCCCAGACTGAAGACATGTCAGTGCTGAGTAGTAGAGGTTTTGAGGGGGAAGGCATTTTTTGCTATGATCCACAAAGCCTGGCACTCATGTTTAGTGAGCAGGAAGGGACAGTGAGAACCACAGTGTCACACAGCTCCAGCTTCCAGTGTGAGAATACAGCTTGGCCAGAGAGAGGCAAAGTGGCTCTGTAGATACCAAAGTGCCCTGCATAGGGAGGTTACTGTATAATTACTGATGACAGAGCACTGGTTTTCTGTCCCACAATCAGCACTGTGTGGGGAGATATCCCCAAATAGCTCTGGACATATATGAGAAGGCACGCACTCTATGGGTTAGAGCATGAATGATGGCTGACAGAGCACTTGTCATTTCTTCATATGTACAAAGGCCATAAGGCTATGCAAGACCTAGTCTTTAGGAGAAACCCCTGAATTAAAGTTTTTCAAGTACCAAGTACTACCTGAAGGGACCTGAAACTCAGAGAAGTAATGGTTTTCAAGGTTGTAGCTCTTGAGTGCCAGGATCAGATCCCATCCCAGACCACCACCACTCCCTACATTAACAAAAACAAACAAACAAACAAACAAACAAAAAACAAAACAAAAAAAGACTGCAGGATCCTGTCTGACCCTCAGTCAATGACGTGTGTGTGATCTGGGGCCCAGATGTCCATGCTGCCTGACAAAGCTCCTCCCGGAACGCTCCCAGGATACATACGCACAGGAAGTTTGACCCTGGCCTCCTACCTGGATATGGAATAGAGAGGAGAGTGAAGTTTGCATAGCGCTGGGCTTTGTCCACCTTCTCAGAGGAGGTCACACTACAAGACAGGAACATGTGTTATGGTACCCCAACACGCATACACACAATACACACACTTTCCCAAATGAGTGTTACAATTTCTTAAGGTGAACCTTTTGCTAAAAATCTGTCTCTCTCAGACTTAGGAATGATATCCTCAGCAGCACACAATTAAATGTTCTTCCCTGTCCCCATCTGAACAACTCAAATAAGAGAGGTCTTTTTTCACTCTAACAAATCAGCAGGCCTCAACCAGTACCCAAGGGTTGGAGAGAACCTTGCAAATCATCGGCTCCATGGAGGCATGAGGCACGTCCACTCCTGGTCCTGAGGGTGGGACAGAGCTGAGCAGTAGGAAGCACTTCTCTACCTCCAAAGGCCACTCCTAAACATGGGAACATGTAGCTCAGAGTATTGCACACCTGTCATCCCAGGATTTGGGAGGCTGAGCTAGAAGGATCCTCACAAATTCAGGGCCAGTGTGGGCTACACAGTGAGTTCAAGGCTGTATTTCAAGACCATATCTCCAAAAACAAAACAAAACACAAAAACAAAACAAAACAAAACAAAACTCAAAAAACAAAAACAAAACTGCCAAAAACAAAGAAAGCAAAACAAAAGTAACAAAAAGGAAAATAAAAACTCCCACAAGGGGCTCAGAAGACGGCTAGGTTGTCAAGCACTTGCTATACCAGCATGAGGACTGGAGTTCAGCTCCCGAGCACCTATGTAAAAAGCTGGAAGTGGCTGTAAACACCTGAAATCACAGTAATGTGAAAGAGACACAGGAGGATCTCCTGGCTTCCTAGCCAACCAGGAGGCTGAATTGGTGAGCTCCAGGTTTACTGAAAGACTTGGTCTTGAAAACTCAGGTGGAGAATGACTGGGGAAGCCATCTGATATCAGTCTTTGTCCTCCACGTACATACCACCTGCACAAGTGTACGAAGGGACGTCAGAACCTACAGCACAAGGCTGTTTCAAATGCAGTGAGAGGCTGCACAGACAGCCCTCACACAAGCCCACCAATGCCAGGATGGCTATGTACTGTGGGCCAGCTCTGCACACTGAACACAAAGCCTGAGACTGCTTCTTGGCAGATGCCCTGTACTCACTTCATGCCAAACTTCACCTTCTTGTTCTCCACCATCAGGTCACAGATGTACTTGACAGATAGGTATTGAAGCAGTTTGATATCAAAGCCTCTCACCTTATCAAAAAGGTGCGTGTCACCACTTCTGAAATAAATAGCCAGAGAAAGAGGTTGAGACAGGTTGACTCAGAGAAGTATGGGTAGGGAGCTATTTTAGGAAGTATGGATGAAAACTTGTGTTCGATTCTTCAGAAGTTAGGGGGCAGGGGGAGGGAAGGTGACTTTCCAAGAGATTATCCCTATCTTGGGACACATTTCAAAGAAGAGCAATTTGCAGCTAGAGTGGGAAAGAGCTTTCTGCACTGCTTGACATTAAGCCAGAAGACTCAAGATAATCTCCAGTTCTAAAAGGCATCGAGCTGGTGGCTGAGACACTTTAAACTTCCATTAGAGTTCATCTCCACCTCCCTCTTTTCCTTCCATTTAGGACCATTTTTAGTCATATGCCTTATGGATATAACAGATTGAAAATCTTCAACCAATAAACCCCTTTTAGTGTGATTTGACCAACTGATTGTGAAATACTAGGTAAGTGAATTCCTTCTACTTACCAGGCTGGAGGAGGAAGAAGAGGAAGAGGAGGAGGAGAAGGAGAAGAAAACATTTAAATTCTCAGGCCACTTTCTGTCCAGCTATGCAGATATGACAGCAGTACAAGGGTTAACAGTCACTGCAATGTGTTTTTAATGCCTGCTGTTTGGTCACTGCTGGGAGTCAGTTGCCTCATTAAGAACTGTGTGCTGTAGATGACCTGGCCAAGGCGGAAGTCACCTGACCTTGGGGGAAGCCAAACATTCTTGAGCATAAGCCAGAACTACTACTTTCAAAGTCAATGGCAGAACCCAGGCATGGCAAAGTACCTGAGCCACAGTTTGAGCAGCAGATCATACTAGGGTGCCACCTAAAGACTTTTCCTGTGGCACCAACCACACAAACGTGGTTTGTAGTCTTGTTCATTAAAAACTATTTGAAAAGGGGCAGGGTGTGAACCAGCCTACTTTTTCCCTTTAAAGGAGCTCAGTGCTGCATGTCTATAGTTCTAGAACTTGGGAAATAGTGACAGGACCAGGACCTTGGCTATATGAAGTGAAGAGCCAGGCCTGACTATATGAGACCTTGTCTTAAAAAGCCAAAAAATAGAGTCAGCCATTGTGGTTTTATGGACTATTCTCACGCGCACATGCGTGTACACACACACACACACACACACACACACACACACACACACACTCGAAGGAAAAAAAGGTGCATGTGACTCAAAATTCAATTGTGGAATATGGTTGTTACACAAGGACTTTACCCTAACCCTGTAATTCAGAGCCAGGAGTGCTGAGTGATACCTGGCAGGTTCATACTTGGCGACTAGCTGCATCCTGACATTGTGTAGGACTCTAAACAAATACATCTAGGGCCAACCTTAAACCAGCAGCACAGAAACCCTAAGGGTCATCATCACGTGCTGGGATCCTGATTGAAGACTGCTCAGGTTAATGAAGCTGCTGGGTGGATTTCAGAGTGCTATTTTGGGGATATGGAGTTGAAAGACGAGGGCAGAGAGCCAATGCACTTATCCAGACCAGAGATGAATACCCACTGCCAGAGAGTATGGCTGCCATCAACCAGCCAACCATCTCTGACCCAAGCTCCTACCCACAGTGACCCCGCACTGACCGAAGAACAAAGTCCTCTTCTGTGACATCTTCTGTATTTGCCCAGGTATCATCTGCTCCCCCTGCCAGAGAAACCAGTCTGTCAGCACTGAAGCTGGTGGGACCCTTGCTAAGCCAAGTGGAGTCAACATGCACCTTCCCAGGTTTAGCCCTCATGTTTCCATTAGGGCAACATGCCCACCTGTGTGGCAGTCTGCTTTGTCTCGGAAGTGAATCCCTAGTTTCTGCTCTGGAGTGCTCTGGCCTCTACCCTGCTTCATCATACCTTCTCCTCACTACTGTGGCCGAGGCAGGACTAGTCCCTCTGATCAGGTTTTCCATTCTTAGACCCATAAAAGGCTGTTCAATATTCACCTGAGAAAAAATAGTTGTATCCAGAGCGTCCATACAGCTCTCCCCATCCAGCCAGTGTGGCCGACCTGCAAATATGCTGGGAGACAAACAGCAATTTCAGGATCAGATGACTTCTGAAGCATGCAGAACTTAAGGAATGCCTGGTGCTTCTTACCAGCATAGAGACCACCACAGTCAGTCTGACGTCTGCTTAGAACTTATTCACCTACCAAAGGGGTCTCTCCCCTAAATTCAAGGTACCAGTGGTTTATCAGTGATGAGAGTAAGACTTGGGGGATGTACATGTATGCCAGGTACTAGGCACAATTCTGTCAGGTGACACCACCTTCTAACTGAACTCACAAGGCCATAAGGCAAGCATGGCAGTAGCAGACAACTATTTCACAATGAAGAAAGGAAAAACTGGCTCAAGGAGGTTAGGGATGTAAACAGTTACAGAATGTGGAGCAGGACAGGAATTGGCCCAGGCTCATGCACCTTCCAGGACCTATTATTTGGAATTTTTTAACACAGAGGGCAACTTTTATACTAAGAGACACAATTAAAAGAGAGATACTTGGGTCTAAATTTTGTTTTTGTTTTTTGGTTTTTTTTTTGGTTTTTCGAGCCAGGGTTTCTCTGTGTAGTTCTGGCTGTCCTGGAACACACTCTGTAGACCAGGCTGGCCTCTGACTCAGAAATCTACCTGCCTCTGCCTCCCAAGTGCTGGGATTAAAGGTGTGTGCCATCACTGCCCGGCTGGGTCTTAATTTTTAAAAAGAAATTATTAAGCAGTCATAATATGTGGCTGTAATTTCAGCACTTAAGATCAGAGGCGGGCCTAGAGACATGGCTCAGCAGTTAAGAGCACTGACTAGTCTTCTAGAAGTTCTGAATTCAATTCCTAGCCACCACATGATGGCTCGCAACCAACAGTAATTAGATCCAATGCCCTCTTCTGGTGTGTCTGAAGACAGCTATGGTGTACTCATAAACATAAAATAAATAAATCTTTAAAAAAAGAAAAAAGATCAGAGGCAGGGACATCAGAAGTTCAAGGCCAGCCACAGTTATATAGTGGGTTTGAGGCTAGCCAGGGCTTCATGAGACTATCATAAACACACACACACACACACACACACACACACACACAGTTCTCTATGAGATCAAAGTCAATCTGGACTACATTAGTTTTAGGACAAAAGCAAAAAAATAAAACAAGATAAATAAAACTCACAATTATCAAGGAAAAATAGTAGCAATTACTTGGTTGGCTTTTTTCTTTCTTTAAACAGGGGCTGTAGGAGATGGAAGCCAGGACCTTGTACATGTCAGGGCAGTGCTCTACAACTAAACTAAATCCCACCTCCTTCCTTATTCTTTTACTTTTTCCTTATCATGGCAGGGATCACTCCGAGAGCTGGAATTCTACAAGCTAGGCAACAGTACCTTTAAACAGACTGTACATGTCTATCTGCAGGATGTGTATGTTTGTGGGACAGTGTGTACCGAGACGGGTTTGCTTCTTTCCACCCACCTTTATGTGAGTTCTGAAGATCAAACTCGGGTTGCCAGGCTTGTACTGTGGCCACCTTTCTTTAACCAGTGAGCCATTTGCTGACCTATAAACTTTCATTACTTAAATAGTTTGTTGAAATTCAGTAGTGGGTCGAGGGGAATGGGAAATGTCTAGTGACATGGAAACAAGCCAATCTAGTTTGACCGAAGGCTGGGAGATCTGCACCACTGCACTAAGACAAACGGAAGATGTAGGTGACAGACCAGTTGAAGTTCATTTCTGAATTGGTCCTACAATCTTCAGTATAAAAGTGGGTTTCTGGGCTGGAGAGATGGCTCAGTGGTTAAAAGCACTATCTGCTCTTCCAGAGGTCCTGAGTTCAATCCCTAGCAACCACATGGTGGCTCGCAACCATCTGCAATGGGATCTGGTGCCCTCTTCTGGCACACAAGTATACAAGCAGATAGAGCACTCATACATAAAATAATCTTTTAAAAAAAATGAAATAAGGTGGGTTTCTGAAAGCTTACAAAAAATACTGTCTGCTGCAGGGTCCTCATTGTCCTACAAGGTAACAGAAGTAATGATGGCTCTACACGAAATGGGTAGGGAACCACTAGATCAACTGTCTAGCTCTTGCTGGGGTTGAGAGCAGGCAAACCACAAGCAGCTGGGTATCATCTGGAACTGGCTAGGGGTTCTTGGAGATGTGGCCTGTTTGCATATCTGCTCTCCTGTGTTTGAGCTCCAAACAGCACCTTAGTCTCCCAGACCCTGCCAGGGACCATAACTGCTCCAGGGTAGCTTCTTCCCAAAGAATATACTCATATATGCTGATCCCTGCCTCAGAGTCTGTCCAGAGTCCATGGAGAAGGGGGCTAGAGCTGAATTTCCTGCTGGTCTAAGCAAAATGCACTATGGTGGGGGCCACTTAACTTTTTCTGGGTCTAAAAGCATCCATAAATCAGCTGAAAAGTGTCACTGTTGAGTGTGTCAGCAGAGGCTTGAAATCTTTGGGAATCTCCACATTTGAAATTGGATACTAGAGGAGGGTGGTTAAGGCCAATCTGAGCTTTAAAGATCGATCCTGTCTCAAAGTAAAATAAAATTAGTTGGTAAAGTACTTGTGCAAATATGAGAACTTTTTGGGTCCCCAGTACCCTCGTAAAATGTCAGGTGTGGCTGTGCACGTCTACACACAATCTTAGTGCTATGAGGAAGAAATAGCACATGGCTAGAGCTGACTGGCCAGGAGCAACAGAGAATGCTGACCCACATACTGTTTCAGAAGAGGAAGAGAAAAGGGACTGAGAAATGATACCCAACATTTGGCCTCTAGCTTTTAAGAATTTATGTGCACACATAGGCCACACATGCACGTACATTAAATAAACGGCAAGCTTGGTGGATCAGGCCTGTAGTCGGTCCAGCACTTAGGCTGAGGTAAAAAGATGGCTTTTACTTTTCTTCCTTCTTACTTCAGAGACCTGATGAGTAGAAGAAATTTATTTGCTAGGATTTCACAATCCATTAATAGAGTAGGTCTGAAAAGTCTTATCTGTCAAAGAGTTTCAACCTGCCACATTCCTAAGGCATGAGGTTTAAAATGACCCTGGAGTGAGAGTGAACTCTGATGGAAGCTTAAGGAATATCCCAGGACTCGGCCGGGGGGTGGGGGTGGGGGGAGATGAGGCAGAAAAGAATGCTGTGAGTTTAAGGGCAGCCTGGGCTACTGAGCAAAAAACCCTGCTTTTCAAAAATAATCAGGAGCCACTTTGTATCCCCAAATGACAAAGCCCACGCAGGTGTCTGCTTCAGCTCAGAGCTGAAATTATGTCAATGCCCCCACACTGACCCATTTACAAGGCCACATCAGGGGTCAGGACAAAAGTATTTCTCATTCCTCTGTAAGACACAGGCTGACCCTGAAACTCCTTGATCCTTCTGCCTCTACCTCTCCAGTATTAGGATTACAAGTGTGCACTGCCATGCTTGACTCAAACTCCAGGTTGTTTGTTTGTTTGTTTGTTTTGTTTTTCGAGACAGGGTTTCTCTGTATAGTCCTGGCTGTCCTGGAACTCACTCTGTAGACCAGGCTGGCCTCGAACTCAGAAATCCGCCTGCCTCTGCCTCCCAAGTGCTGGGATTAAAGGCATGCACCACCACCGCCCAGCTCTGAGTTTTCTTAATGTGTAAACTTGGTCAAGTTATTTAACCACTCTGAACCAAAAAAACAGTAAGACAAGTAAAAGATCCCATCATGGAGCTACCCTAACAGACCTAGTGAACATGTGAACTGCAAGAGTTGGGACTTTTGTCTGCTTTACGAGAATCACATATCTCAAAGTCCTGAGACAAAGTACACATTCAATAAGTACATGGCCAATCACATGACTGAAAGAAGGGACAACAGCAGAATATTACCTGATTTAATCTACTCTTCAGAGTAAGCTGAGGCTATATATAGGCAGTAAGAGCCAGGATCTGACCTAGGCAATCCAGCTCTATAGCATGGGGCAGGGAGGTGCTGGTATTACAACCCTTCCCTATCTGAAATCTTCCCTCAGTCAGAAATGGTTCGTTTCTCTGGCCTGTTTCCCACACTGAGATGTCCAACAACCAAGTATCCTGCCTAATACAGTTAGAGAACAAAAAGGTGAGACAATTTTGCATGAAGTCAGTGACCAGAACAAGGGATAGCAAACGATGCTGTGCGTGGGCCTTACCTTGCCTTTGAACAGGATCACTGGGCAGACAAACCGACCTCTGCACCTGGCCATCTTGCTTCGGTGAATGAGGTCTTGCAGCTTGTTCACCTGCACAGTGCTCTGAAACCTAACACAAGCAGAAGGCTGAGGTCAGCCAGGCAGTAACACAGGTGTCTGTTCAGACACAGAGGAGGCCTACATATGTGTAAGACTCTCTAGAATCCTGTTTTCAAGTCAAGATCTCACTACGTAGCTGAGGCAAGCCTTGAATTCAGATGTAACCCAGACTAGCCTTAAACTCTGTAGCCTATGCTAGCCTTGAATTTGTAGCAAACCTTTTAGCTCAGCTTCCCAAGTGCCAAGATCACAGACATGCTCCACCATGCCAAGTTTTAGTCACTGAAAATTTAGCAAATGCCATTATTCCTAAATTTCAGATCATTGATATACCGAGTTTTTCAGGAAAAGAAAAAAAACCTGTTAATTATAAGTATTAAAATCCAAGTTACTCTGATTTCAGAGCTTTTCCAGTGAAAAAATGAAAGCCAAATTAAATTAGCTGGGTGTAGTGGTGCATGTTTGTAATCTCAGCCCATGCAAAAGGCTGAGACAGGAGGATTATTATAAACTCAAAGCCAGCCTGGGTGACATAGTGAGTTCAGGCCAGCCTGAGTTACAGCATGAGATTCTGTCTCAAAACAAGGACCACATAGAAAATCCCCAATAAAACCCAAACAAATGGAAAAGTCCACAAGGAAATGAGCTTTAGCAAGCTACACCAGTACCAAACACTTCTCTAAAACCAAACAGTACTGGAGTGTGCATGGTACACACCCAAGAGGAGCCCACTAGCCAGCCAGGCTACCTGGTGAGTCAAGGCCAGGCTTGGGGAGACACCTTGCCTCAGATAAGGTGGTATGTGAACTGCAAAGGCCTCTGCCTCCACAGACACATGCACAGGTAAGCATTCACATCCATACACCACACACAGAGAGAAAAAAGGGGCAGGAAGTCAGAGCTGTACAGTGAGCCCTCAGAAGGCAGGCAAGTGCTCTCCTTAAAGGACTGAGCTTTGAGCCAGCCTTACAGAAAGCTCAGTCTCCTTCCACATCCTGACCCTTCAAATGATCCTGTTACCACACAGCTCCTCAGGGAAATGCACTGTCCTTAACACTGCTCCAGGAGAGGTAGGGTAGTAACACTCATGGATTTGTGGCTCCTTTGTGAAGCTGGATGGTAATGCAGATAATCCAAGTATAGTCTTAGGCTGGTGGTATATACCGGTTCTCTGCATTGAGGAAGCAAGGGCAGGAGGATGGCCACAAGTTCAAAACCAGGCTGATCCACATAGTGAGCTTCAGGTCACTGAAGACCCGTCTTTAAAAAACAAAAGCAGCCAGGTGTGGTGGCACATACCTTTATCCCAGCATTCAGGAAGCAGAGACAGGTAGGTTTCTTGAGTTAAAGGCAAGCCTGGTCTACAGAGCGAGTCACAAGACAGCCAGAGCCACACAGATAAGCACCTGATTACAGGTGCTGTGAGTTCATGAATGCAACAGCTCTGATGATTTTTGAAAACTCTTCAACTTCGATTTCAGATGCTTCTACTTGACAGTAATTACATCTCAAGCCATAGTTTAGAGACAGTAGCCTTTATATATTTTCCTTCAAATTGAGCAGTGAAGAGCTGGGCACTTTGTTTGAAGAGTGTTGCATTCCAGTAACTCCAGCACTTGGGAAGTGGAGGGAGAGGCTCAGGAACCTGAGGCCAGCCTGGACTGTAGGAGATCCTGTCTCAGATGGATACCTATGGGTTGTTTTTGTTGTCACTAGGGTGTGTCTGCATGTTGTGTTTTACCTTAGATTTTTGTTTGTTATCAGCCAGCCTCCCTACACAGGTCATCTAACTTGCTGTGTGGTCCAGCCTGGCCTCAAACTTTCTATCTCCCAGCTTCCTTCTGAGAGCTGGGACTATAGGCATGTGCCACCATGCCCAGTTTGTTTTTAAGACTGCTATGCTGGGTTTTTGTTTTCAGGAGATGGGGGTTTTAGATAGGGTAGTCCTGGCTGAGGATTATTGGCAGTGAATGGCAGAATAGTCAAGTGTTTTAAGGTTGTGGCTCCTGGTAGGCTGTCCATGCTCCCAAGGATGGTTCTATACCTATGTGAATAGACTAGATTTAGTCGATAATTAAAAACAAACAAACAAAAAACAATTTTAAAAGGACAATGAGGTTGGGAAGTGGGATAGGGATACAGAAGAGAGGTCTGGAAGACGGGGATGGGAGAAGGACAATTAACATGCACTGTATACATATATGAAAGTTTTTAAGTTTAAAATATATTTTACAAAATCATATGCCAGGCCTAGGAGCACCTACATGAGATCTCAGTTACTTTGGTGGGAGGGGCAAAGCTGGAGAATCACAAATCCAAGTTCTGTGTGAAATACGGAGTGAGGTCATGGTCAGGCTCCAAAATTTAGCAAAACTCAAAATGACAAGAGCTCCTCAGCTGTTTCAGCAGGTACAAGTTCTTGCCATGTAAGCCAGACTACCTTAGTTCAATCCAAGGACCTCAAATACACAGGGAAGAACTGGCTCCATAAAGTTTTCCTGTGACCTGTATCTGAATGCCCCACCTCCCACATCATGGACAAACACAGCAGTAAATAAAATTTAAAAACAGAGTGTTCTGGTATGACATTTGGCCACCATGTGTGAAGCCCTAGCTTCAATTCCCAGAACCTAAAAATAACAGTGTGTGTTTCAGATCGGGGAGAATATATGTCTTCACGTAAAAGCTAATGATCATGAAAAGTCAGTCAGGGCTTGGGAGGGAACTCCTCCTATGGAGCCCCTCTCTTGGTAGCTTTTCTTACATTTTTGCTCTGCAAAAACTCAAAACCAAGGAGGTTTAAGAGGACGACCTCCGCTCCCCCCCATCCCCGGTATATTTTCCAGGAGGTCAGATTTAAGATATGTTTGCTAATGGAATGTTATTTCTTTGTAGGAAGAGGAAAACGACAGGCTTTATGGGGCCAGGGTGCTTATATCAAGTACCTAACAGGATGGCACTGGCTCACTGGCAAATCCTGTGGCTGAGAAGCTGGATGCTGCGGCTGTCCCCATCTTAGTTTCTCTATGACATATAAAGGCATTTAGTCCAAAACAAGTGCAATGCTAAACTCTAGGACTGTGAGGTAGAACATACAGCATGGCTCCAGTACCCAGCTTCCCAACTACCTGGTCACCATTCCCTTTTCAGCCTTGTCGGCACTGTCTGTCCACTGGCCTCTCAGCTAGTTCACAGCAGTTACACAGTCACTGCACAACTTAGCCTAAGTTTGAATTCTAGAACCTGTAACAAGCCGAGGATGATCTCAGCCGGGCGGTGGTGGTGCAGGCCTTTGATCCCAGCACTTGGGAGGCAGAGGCAGGTGGATTTCTGAGTTCGAGGCCAGTCTGGTCTACAGAGTGAGTTCCAGGAGAGCCAGGACATCACAGAGAAACCCTGTCTCGAAAAAAAAAAAAAAAAAAAAAGCACACACAAAAAAACCCATTCACTTTCTATTATGCTAGATCATGGCTTATCTGCCTGGCCACTACTCAAAAGAACCAGTTCTGTTTCTGCTTTCCCACTAGTTCCCGTTTTTAAATCTGTCACTTGCCAGTGAATTGTCTGGCCTATGATCATACCTGAATGAACTCTGTATGCTTACACATTTGTATCTACAACCCAGTAGTGAGATTTCCTTTGCTATTTATTTGCTACTGGGGACTCAACTCAGGGCCTGTCCCTGAGGTAAATCTCTAGCCCCTCCTTTGGCATTATTTAATTGGTTTTTGGTCTTCATGAACATCATTTGCTTACAAAACTATTTTTAAAGCACGTTTTAGTAATAAATGGCCACAATCTTATTACTCTTGAAGCTGAGGTAGGAAGACTAGGTGTATGCAGGGAGCAGCCAACATCCTACATTAGGAATGTTGTACAGGTTTAGGAAAGCTTACCAGAATTGATGTGACAACAACATTTTGTTTTTGTCGGTGGTAGTGTTTTATTTTGTTTTTTTGTTTTTAATTGTTCGGTGTTTCTTTGTTTTTTCATGACAGGGTCTGTGTAGCCCTGGCTGTCCTGGAACTCACTTTGTAGACCAGGTTGGCCTCGAACTCAAGAGATCCACCTGCCTCTGCTTCTACACCACCACCACTACCACCACCAACAACCAGGCTTGTTTATTTTTAAAAGCCCTTTAAAAAGACTATTTGTAGAGGGAGGAAGGGAGAAGGAATGAATGTGAAAATGGAGGCATACATCATGGTGCGTGGTAGTCAAAGGGCAACTTTGAGGACATGGTTCTCTCCTAATACCTTGTTATTAAGGAAGGGTTTCTCATTATTTTTGTCACTATGCTGCAAATCGAGTTTCTGGTGAATTCTGCTGTCTTCGTTCCTGTCTTGCTGGAGGAGCTCTGGGATTATAGACGCTGAGTGCTCACTCACACCTGACTTTTTAACATGGGTTCAGGGGGTCAGGACTGTAAGACAAGTGCTACTCACCTGCTCAGACATCTCACTGGCCCTGGATTTTTTTTTCCTTTTTTGGGGGGAGACAATTTCACACTATGGCCCAGGCTGGCCTAGAACTCACAGCCTCCAGACTGAATCAGTAACCTCACTCGTACTTTCCCCTAGCTATGGCTCTTTGTAGACTGCCAATGCTTAGTTACACCCACCAGGCCAGAGGATGAGAATTTCACTAGTGGGACTTCACCTATTGGATTCTCGGGGTCCACCACACAGAGGCAGCTCAGCAAACATTCAGAGCAAACCCTCTGGCTCTCCTGGACAGAACTGGGGAGGCTTTTAACTAGACCAAACACTTTCTGAACTGAGTTACACCCTGTCTAACTCAGTCTATTCATGTCACAGTAACACTTAAGAAGCATTCAGTCATATTTCTCCCCCAATTATATCCAAATTCTCTTCCTTTCAACAGATACTCATTGCCAACTAATGTCACTTCAATATAAAATAATGACCATGTAAAGAAGTAAAAACTAACTGCAAACTCTAAAGCAGGGCATGCTGACATGTCTCTGTGATTCTAGCTATGTAAGACAAGAGGAGTCTGAGTTTAAGGTCGGCCTAAAAAATTTAGCCAAGATCCCATCTCAAAAAGAAGGGGGAGCCTATCCGTGGTGGTGCACACCTTTAATCTCAGCACTTGTGTGGCAGAGGCAGGTAGATCTGTTAGTTTAAGGCCAACCTGGTCTACAGAGCGAGTTCTAAGACAGCCAGGGTTATACAGAAAAAACCCTGTCTGGAAAAAAGAAAGAAAGAAAGAAAGAAAGAAAGAAAGAAAGAAAGAAAGAAAGAAAGAAAGAAAGAAAGAAAGGGGGGAGGGGAGGGGAGGAGCTGGAGATCCATGCCCTGCTCTTCTAGAGGACCCAGCTTCCATCCCTAACATCCATACTAGGAAGTTCACAACCACCTGGGACTCCAGCTCCAGCAGGACTGAATGTCTCTGGCTTTCATTGGTACCTGGAGTTAGGTACCTATACACAAACACACACCTTTAAAATTGTTCAAGGCTACCCCCCCCCACACACACACATAGAGTTAACAAAACTCTCCAAGGGTAGCATAATGCTCTTTTCCTGGAAAGTAAGAAGACTGTCATAGACAAGGTGGCAGTAAAGAAAAGGCAGACAAGTGGACAGAGGAAATCTTTCTCCTTACTGATTCTTGGGTAAAGGGAAATTGCCTCTCTGGGCTTCAACTTTTTTTCTCTGCAGGATAGGGGTGATACTATTTTTTTCATAGGTGACATGCAGGATATAAGTATAAGTATGTGAAATCCTAACTCATGACAATCGGAGAGCAGATGATCACTTCTCTTCCCTCTCAACACAGGATCTCATATAGTCCAGGCTTGTATCAGACTTACCTTGTAGCTAAGAATCATGTAGTCAGTTCTCCACAAGTGTGTACAAGTGTGTACCACAATGGCCAGTTTATAGAGTGCTAAGAATTTAACCCAGAGGCTTCATGTATGCTAAACACAAGTACTCTAGCAACTGAGCTATTATCAGCCCCTAGAAAATTTTCTCTTTAATGCTAGAATGAATAAGCACTGAACATGTTTCTTTCAGGACAGGCAACCAACCATAACTGAGAGCTAGTTGGAAAACGCTGAATTCTGGCTCCACCTCTGAGGTGCAGTAACAAGATCGCTTGGTGGTTCACTCACATGAATGGCAGAGGTAAGTGCCACACAGGACTCACAAGAGTAAAAAAGGGGAAGGGGGTTGGGGCAAGACATGGTGGACACTTCTAACTTTACCTCTTGGGTGATGAAAGCAGAAGGTTCATGAGTTCAAGACCAGCCTTGGTTACATAGATGACGATGTTGGTAGCAAGTGACTGAGAGCAAGTGAGAGATGGTTACAGACTGACTGGAGCTTACAGGACTATAAAAAGGCTAAGTTTCCCTACCTTTGGAAGGGAAGTTAGAGAAGAACTAAGGTGCTGTAGCGAAGCAGAGCCCTCAGCCCTGGAAATGCCTGGGGAGGAGGTGATAGCAGTTCTGGGATCTTCACAGAAGTGTACACTAATTTTTCAAGAGATGGGCACTCTTCTAGATATCCCTCCACTCATAAGAAAATAAAGGCTTCAGTCTTAAAACTCCTCTGACCATGCTGTTCACCTGCTTGTAAACATCTCTCCCCACATCTGGCTATAGAATATAAGGCACCTAAGGAGTTCTGAGAATGCAGAATGTGGAAACAGCTTTAGAAGTTCCCAGAGGGGACCCTGGAGTCTAGAGTCTTCAGTTGTGCTCAGGTGTTACTATGAAAAGTACCACACCCATTCATGTTCCAGAAGTCTACACTCCTTGGCAATGATCGGTGCTACACTGAACTGAGCACGGTGGCTCACACCTGTAACCTCAGCACATGAGAAGCTGAGGCAGAGCTGACAAAGGCCAGCCAGGACCACAACGTGAAAGCTCGTCTCAAAGAAAGCAAACAAAACATGAAAAAGAAAGGGAAAGGAAGGAGTGTGAAGGGAAGGAAGGAGAAAGTAGTAAAAGGCAGGGCAAGGCAAGAAAAAGCCTATTCAAAAGTTGTCCTTGAGGGAGCTGGAGAAATGGCTCAGCAATTCTGTTCTTCCAGAGGTCCCGAGTTCAATTCCCAACAACCACATGGTGGCTCACAACCATCTGTAATGGGGTCTGATGCTCTCTTCTGGTGTGTCTGAAGAGAGCAACAGTGTATTCACATAAAATAAATAAATCAATCTTAAAAAAAAAAAAAAAAAAAGTTGTCCCTGAGAACCCTGAGGCTGTCCATTGTGAGGTCGTCTCAAACACCCCACCAGGGAGGATTGACCATCCTCTAGGTTTGCCTACAGCAGCACTTCACAACTGTTTCCACACATATTAATTAATTACTTAGGCATCTCGGTATGCTGTGATTTTGACCCATGGCTCTAAAACCCAAGAGTCCATGCTTCCCACAATGTCTTGGGAGACAATGGCTTTGCTTTGAGAAGCAGAAGCTGACCCATCATCCTCATTCACAGGGCAAAGATGATATAGCAGCTCTTGGAACGTCCTTAAGACCGCGAAAAGGGAACTTAAGGGAAGAACCAGGAGCAGACATGGAGTCTCAGTGTTGTGAATAATCTGTGCCAAAGAACTACAATCCTTTACTACCTGATGAGATAGTCCCATATCAGGCGTTTCAAGTCTGCTCTGCTGTGAACTGTTACTCTACGTAAGCGCTAAAGCCTGGGTCAGGTCTCAGTGTACATGGTAGCTCTTATTTAATTCTGACAACAAACACAACAGGCTTGCATTAGCACGATTTATCATCAGGAACCGCACAAGCCACTTTTCTAGAATTTTAATTAGTCCTTGCAAGCCTTAATTATAAGGAGGCCAGGAATTACCAAAGAAAAACTAAGGACAAAGAGAATTAATAACTTGCCTAGCATTAGCTACAGAGTCAGAAAATGGACAAGCAGGATGCTAACTCAAGCAGTGTGATTGTAGTCCTAGGATCTTAAGAGACACATATGGGAAACACTCCTAAACCTGTCTTGAAAGCTGGGCATAGTGGCAAAAAGCCTGTAACCCCAGCACTTAGGCAGTGGAGGCAGGAAGATCAGAAGTTAAAGATCATTCCTCTGGCTACAAAGTGAACACATGGCCAACTCAGGCTACATGATACCCTACGTCAATAAAATATGGTCTATCTTGATATATATTCCTTCTAACTACACCTACTAAAAACAAAGATGGCACCAAAGTTGTTCAGAGAGGTGAAGGATGTCTGTTGCCTTAGGTCAGTGAAGTCAAACAGAGGGGTGAAAGAGAGTGGCAGGGCTGGGACTCTCCATTTCTCATCATAAGCTACATTACTTGGCCAATCAAACTCTACCCTTAAGTAAATAAAGATGCCAGGAACTAACCCCACCTGGGGAAAGTGAGCATGCCCTGCCCAGTCTCCTGACCCTGGGGATGAGCCTCTGAGGTCTACCCAACATGCACACTACAGTCACAGGATGCTCACGTGTCTTTCTCTTTCTCAGAACTCTCATACTCCAGGAACACGATGTGGCGGGGGTAGTGGCCGCAGATATCACCATTCACATTTGGAATCACGCTGAAACAGTAGTCACGGCCAAATAGCTCCAGACATCTCTTCTCAATGCGTTCAACCTGCATAGAGAAGGAGACTTGAGCCTGAAGAGAATTCTTGGGTTCTGAGGCCGTGAGCATTAAGTGGCCCATGATATGAAGAGACCACTGGGAGTAAGCACTTCTGTGATTATCATTCAAGGTTGAGAAGAAACAGGATGCTGGGCCACAGGCTCTTCTATGTTAATTCATATGTGGTATGCCTCAGATAGTACCTAAACCCATCATCCACACTGCATGCAAGACTGTGTGTTGTCAACATGGAGAGAGTCTACCATCCATGAGATGTAAGAACTGTTTGTGGATGTCATGACACATACCTTTTATCCCAGCTGAAGCTGGAGGGTTAAGAATTCACAGCCAGGCTGGGCTACTTACTTACTGAGACCTTGTTCCAAAAAACCAAAGCAACAGTGACTCTTGCTTTAGGTTACTATTATGGCATTGACACATTATGTTCCTTTAACACCAGGTTTTTGTTTTGTTTCTTTCCTTTCTGTTCTACAGCCCCAGACTAGTATTCAAAGCTCCAGTCAGCTGGGCACAGTGGTGCATGCCTACAATCCTAGTACATGGGATGTTGAGGCAGGAGGATGCCGAGTTCAAAGACAGTCTGAGAAAAAAAAAAAAATATATATATATGTATATATATATATATGTGTATATATATACATATATATATGTATGTATACATATATACATATATACACATGCACACACACATATACACACACATATATACATACATATCTATATGTACATATCAAGACCATGAATCAACAACTCCTACAAAAATAAAGAAGCTCTAGTCAGCAAAATCAATAAAAGTGGCAGACGGCTTCTTTACATACAATCTGCTTATAAAACTGAAGACAAGGCTCCCTTCTAAAATTAATCCTTTTGTTCACAGTTCAGTGAAAAGCCTACTGAAGAAAAGCTTACACCCTGTAACACATCAAGAACTTTGCAAGAGATCATCAAGTCTGGAGCAATAATATTAAGACTAATTGTGGTGAAAGTAAGGTTTAACTTGTAAGACACTAATCTTCACACACATTAAGAGGGAAGTGAGATCCATCAAAATCCCGTACCTCCTACAACCACTCAAAAGATTCCCCTTGAAGTCAGGTGTAGTAACTCACACGTGTATGTAGTACTTGGGAGGCTAAGGCAGGAGGATTATTAGTTACAAACCATCCTGGGATGATGACTGTGAAGCCAAGCCAGGGCAACAGACAAAAGACCATGTCCCAAAACACACAAGATTGGTGATGTATCTCAGCTGGTCGACTGCTTGCCTGGCAAGCATAAAACTTGTGTTCAATCTCCAGCACCACATAAACCAAGCATGAGGGTAAACACCTGTAACCCCATCACCTAGGAAGTGGAAACAGGAGGATCAGGAGTCTACGACTGGCTTTGGTTTGGATATGTAACAAACTTGAGGCTTTTCTGAGTAAATACACATTACAAATTCTAGGGTCTGTCTTCTCCCCAGAAATTGTGATTTAAGAGAATCTAAGACCAAAAATCTTTGTGTTTAACAATAGCTCCAAATGATGTCAACTATAACCTGAAAGGTACTTAGTTACCTGGTGCAATAATACCAATTACTGGTCTGTCTTAGGTTACCTCAGAGATTAACAGAGGATGCCCCCTACAGCACGTCCCAGCCCCTAGGTAACCTCTGGGGCCAAACCAGTTTTACGGCCCAGGATAGAGATGAACCCCAATGTGTAATGCTAAAGCTGCCACACCGGGAAAGAGAAATGGCAGGATCTACCAGCGCTGAGGTGAGTATGCCTCAACCAGACCAGAAGTTTTCTTTTCAGACCTGATGATTAGGGCACAGGGAAATTCCCGGGGTTGGGGGGACAACGACAGAGACTTCTTTCTGATAAAAGGAACAGAAAGGGAGTGTGGGTTGTCTTCTTGCTCTACAGGAAAGGAAAGAGAAGGGCCTAAGTCATGCTGGCACCTTATAAGGAGGTGACACACTCCGCTGTTCTCTGGGCTCCATAATGCTACACTACCCCAGGTTCCTACTCTGATCTCTGGTCCAGAGGAGTCTCTTCTCGATTTTTACTTAGATTTGGGGGGTTTTGTTTTTAACCTGTTGGTAACGCCTAAGCTCACCAAGGGTAGCAAACCCTCTCTAGTTCCTATTGTCTAACCTTTGCACCTGGCCCACAACTCTGACCCTTGACTTCCAAATCCCTTGTCTAAAGCAACCCCCCGCACCACCACCCCCAAAAAATCCCACAAAGAGCCTCGGTCCTCTTCTTTGGTGTTAAGCCGGATCCTTACTCCCCGAGTCCACATCCTGAATAAGTTCCTCTCTTGTGTCTCCCCACGAAGGTCTCCTTCCAGCTCTCCTCCCATCCCTAACCACAGTCTTCCCTCAGTAACTCAGGCCAGGGGCCAGTTTCAGGTCGTTGCACCTTTGGGGTTCACCTTAGAGCCACTCTTCCCGCCGCTGTCCTTGGCACGGTACTGAGTCCGGGAGAACTCCTCCAGTAGCTCCCAGAGCCCCGGCTCCTGAGGCGGCGGGCTGCCCGAAGAGGCGGTGGAACCCGCCGAGGCGGTGGCGGCGGCCCGAGCACCCGCCATGCACAGCCTCAAGTCCCCTCAGGGCGCCTTTACCCAGCCCATGGCACCTGAAGCTCGCACTCCGGCTCTAAAACCTTCTGAACCGACTCAGCCGCCGCCTTCTTCCACTTCCGGCCCCGCCCCACTTTTCCGGATGTTTACTCCTGCCGCAGCCAATCAGAGACCATGATTTGTGCCCGGCCCACAGGTCCCTGGCCCACCCCCTGACGCGGAGGGATCCTAATGGCCTCATGGAATGGTCCGCGCTCCGCCCAAGGGGTTTCCCCGGGGGAAGCCGGGCTAAACCACTGCGGCTGCGGGCCGGGGGACGGCGGGAATCATTGGAGAGAAGACAGGAAGGAACCGCCGGAGGCCTTAGTTAGTGCTGGCAGCGAAAGACAAGAGCTGCACGAATTAAAACAGCGTTTCAAACAGCATTTCTCTTTCTTTGCTCTTATGGACGTTCCTGCTAATATAGCGTGGTTCATCACCCTATTTATTGAGGAAGGTGTTTGAAAACTGACGTCTTCTTCTTCCTCTTCTTCCTCTTTCTCTTCTTTTCTTTAAAAGGATCTTCTAGCTGGTGCCGGTAGGCAAATGAGGATGAAGCATGAGAATCAGGCATTTGAGACTAGCCTAGACCACACCTAAAAATATATATTTTAGATGTTTACAAAAATGTAGACAATACGTTCCTTCATTTTTTTTTTTTTTTTTTTTTGTTTTTTTTGTTTTTTGGTTTTTCGAGACAGGGTTTCTCTGTGTAGCCCTGGCTGTCCTGGAACTCACTCTGTAGACCAGGCTGGCCTCGAACTCAGAAATCCACCTGCCTCTGCCTCCCAAGTGCTGGGATTAAAGGCGTGCGCCACCACCGCCCGGCCCTTCATTTTTTTATTAGCTGCTTTTATCGTTGGTCAACACATGCCAATCTCCTGCTCAATTCTTCCCTGTCTAGGGAATTATTTTATTTGTGTATTGGGCTGTTGTTTTCTTTGTTGTAGGAAATTATCTGTGGTATAGCCAAGGCTAGCCTTGAACTCCTGACCCACCTGCCCCCACCTTCCCAGTGCTTTGATTCTCGAATGTCAGCCCCAAATCCCTAGAATTGTTAGTCTCAGAAGATGTGTGTGCTGCCTACCCCCCAAGTATCAATGTTTGGAGAGAAGGGGTTAAACCTTCTCAAGCATTATATATCTGAGGTAGAACTGCTCATTTGGCCATCAATTAGACAGTTGTCAAAGGCGCATGGCAGCCAGCCACTTGCTTAAGCTATAACATGTTCTAAGAAAATGTTCAAAATGAAATTAATGCATCAAAACATAGTAACTTACCATAGGGTCTTAATTAAAGTATTTTCTTAGATTTGTAAAGAAATCTAAGAGAAACACAAGCCACAACCTCCACTGATTGTCAGTCACTCCTCATGCTCAACTAGATGATCTCTGTCCTGAGTTCTAATACTGTAAATTAGTTTTTCCTTTTGGGCACGATGGTCAAATAGAACCAAAGTATGCCTTTATTATTATTATTATTATTATTATTTAGTCACGTCTTCTAAATGGTGATGATTATTCTTGCTTACCAACTTGGGAAAAGGAATCTTCAATTGAGTAATTGCCTCCACCAGATTGGCCTCTGGGCATGTCTGTGGGGCATTTTCTTGATTGCTAATTTATGCAGAGGGAGGTGTCAACTTTGGTGAGGCCGCCCTGGGTTGTAGAAGAAAGCAGGCTGAGCAAGCCACAGGGAACAAGCTGGTAAGCAGTGTTTATTTCTCCATGGCTTCTACTTCAGTTCCTGCCTCCAGGTTCTTGCTTGAGTTCCTGTCCTGCCTGATGGCACCCAAGGGTGGATTGTGACTGAAACTGTGAGCCCAATAAACATCTTCTCAGGTTGCTTTTGTTTTTATCATAGCAACAAAAGAACACACATGATGTCTTTTAAGATTCTCCTAGCCAGTCACAATGGCCTACACCTGTGAGTGCAGCCTTCCGAAAGCTGAGGCAAAAGATAAAGACTCACTTTCAAATAAATCTATTGTTATATGTTATTTTGTAGATATTTTTTGTAAATACACACCTGTGTTAGGGGTGTGTGTGTGTGTGTGTGTGTGTGTATGCTATCCCACCAGCTCTACTAGTGATATCTTATTGGGCTTTTAAAAAAATACAACCATCCTCCCTCCTATCCTTCTTCCATTCCACAGGGTCTTATGTAGCCCAGGCTGGCCCCAAGGTCCCCGTGTAGCTGAGGATCACCTTACACTTCTTTGCCTCTACTTCTTGAGTAGATACAAGCATGTACTAACGTGCCTAGTTTAGCAGCGCTAGAGACCTTTGTGAATCAAACCGAAGGCCTGAGTAGGATGAGCAAACACTGGACCAGCTGATCTCCACACAGCTCCTGGTTGGTAACAAAGTCTCACTATATTACACTCTGGCTATAGACTCTGTGGCTCCAAGAATCTCCCTGCCTCAGGCTCTAGATAAGAATTGAATCTGGCCAAAAATCAAGCTTATTTATCAAGCTGAAATATAGAATACATACTTATGGATACACTCACTTTAATTGTGACTGTTGACAAAAATCCTCATTCCAAGTCCTTGAGCATTTCTGTCACCCCAGAAAGCACCTAATCCTCTGCCTGCTGGTCTCACTCAGCTCCACCCCCAGACGGCCACTGATTTGCTTTCTGTCATTAGACGTTCCTATAAATGGAATCAGACAACGTGTCCTCTCCTGCATCTGGCTTCTTGGGCAGAGTTAATTTTGGTTTTAATTTGCATATCCCTGATTAATGAAGCTGATCACCTTCTCCATATTTATTGCTGATTTGAATATTCTCTCTTGGGTGCTTATAAACATCTTTTGCCCATTTTTCTTTCTTCCTCCTCCCCCTTCTTCATTTTGTTTTGCTTCTTTGGGGATCATTGGCATAGACTCACTGTGTATCTCCAGGCTGGCCTGGAATTCACTATGTGATCCAGGATAGTGTATGCCTCTCTCTCCAGTATTCAGGAGGCTGAGGCAAGGAATTGAGAATTATGGCCTCCCTGGGATACCCAGTGAGTTCCAGGCTAGCGTTCAGGTGCCACCATGTCTAGTTCCCCACTATTTTCTAAAATTGACTTAAAAGTATTTTTGAAATGGGGTCTCATGTATATCAAACTTGATAACCTTGAACTCCAGGTCTTCTGGCCTCCATTTCCTGAGAGCTGGGATTACATGTCACTACATCTGCTCTGCAATTCTGGGATGGAACTGAGGGCTTCCTACAAGCTAGCAAACACTATGCCAACGGGGCTACCTCCCAGCCCCTGAAGGTTTGTGCTTAGTGTAAATTAGAAGTAAAGGAATTTTCTTTTTTCTTCTCAACCTCTCTCTCTTTCTCTTTCCCTCCCTCTCCTTCTCTCTCCCTCCCTCCCTCCTTCCCTCCCTCCCTCCAAGGTGTACTACTATTCCTGTGCCCATGGCATTTCCCAATTTCTATCTATCCCAACTGCTGCGATTGTAAAAATCTGTCCCAGGACCTAGTTCTTTTTGTAGCTAGATCTAAGCAGCTCAATGAGCCCTTTTATTTTAGAGGTGCTTTAATATCAAAAGTTTTATTTTTTATCACTTTTTAGAAGAATACCCAATAGATTCAAAGAAACTTATTGAAAAAGTACCACCTCTTTTCTAAGTCAGGGATGACCTGTTTTTAAAATGATCACATGTGGACATACATGTCTTTGTGTAGGCCCTTTCTTCCCATTAAGATTCAAACAAGGGAAAGTGCATAGTCTCACATATAGTTCCAACCGTGGAGAAACTGAGGCAGTAGGATTGCTCTCAGTTTGACTCCAGCCTGGGCTACAGAAGAAGACTCTCTTAAAACAAAACTGTATTTCCTTTCCAGCCTTGGCCTATTGTATCAAGCACCATATTGATGCCCAGCAAGAGCTAGATTGACATTCACAAATTCCTTTTAAGGGAGGAGTGAGGGCAGCTGAGAAAGATGCACCTGGAAGCACAGACAAGACTATTATGGCCTTCGAGCCTGGGGCGCCTTGCAGTCTTGGCCATATGAACAAGTGGTTAATCTCAGGTATTTCTACTGGTACCTCCCAATGAGAGTAGCCAGCACCTGCGCCTACCTCCATACTGCATCTGCTACTCAGCACTGAAGCCATTCATGATTGACAGGTCCTGCCCAAAGAGTTGGAGAACCAGTGACCTTCAAGGCTTACAAGAAGGGGAAACTACAGACATCTGTTGAGGGGGTGCTGTGTCCCCAGGGCTGACAAGAAAGCCAAGGCTGTTTAGAAGTACATCTGTATGGATACTAAAGTTAGGATCAGTTTTGCTTAATAAACCTGTATCCAGGGAAACGTTATTGATTTCTGTTGTTGCCTTTGAGACATGGTCTTACTCTGTAGCTCAAGTTGGCTTTAGTCTTGAGCTGATTCTACCATCTTAGCCTCTCAAGACCTGGGATTACAGGTGAGCTGCCGATGATTTTTTCCTTTCAAAAAAAATTTTAGTGCAAAGCTTAAACAAAAGGTAACAATAAAATCCAGAGATGAATGCGATGGTGTGCACCTGGAATACAGGCGTAATACAGGTGTAATTCAGGTGTAATACAGGTGTGCACCTGGGATCCCAGTGCTCAAGACGCTAAGGCAGAAGGATTGAGTGTTTCAGGCTAGTTTTAACTACATAGCAAACTACTATATAGAAAAATAATCCAAACTATTTCAAACTTGCATTCAAGGCATCTCCCAAATTTCTAACTCCATTTCCAAACATCCTCCTTTTCTTTCAGTTTTGGGTGTGTTTGTTTGCTTTGCTCCGTTGTTTGTTTTGAGTCTCCCATACTCCCGGTTAGAGTCAACTTCCTAAGTAGCCAACAATAGTTAGCTTGAACTTCTGTTCCTCCCATCTTACTGCTGAGTGCTGGAGTTACAGACGCGCACTATCATGTTTTTAGGAGAGGATCAAGCCCAGGGTTCTGTGCATGCTGGGCAAAACCTTACCAAATGAACTACATTCATAACCTCTTTTCTCTCCCTTCCTCCCTCCCTTCCCGTATGTATGTGACTTCTGTGATCTCATTTTGCGTGTTTCTCTATCCTTTGGAGAGTCCATAAAGCAAATGTTTTCTCTAAAGGGGCAGCACAT